ACAGAGAGCCATTCCTTGTGATGGTACTTCTTGTGATCCAGAACTTCGTGACATGTTGAAGTGATTGCCTCCTTAATCCCTTTCCAGTTGTTCTTCATTGTTGCTTCCTCTCCATTGAGTAGATCTTTAAAGGCCTGGAAACTATTAGTGAGGGCTATCTTGAATTCATTGAGCTTTACAGTATCCCGAAGAAAGGCCGTATTAAACTTGTGCGATGTTGTCTGCCCCGTTGTCCAGTGCTTCTTTAGTTTCAGTTTCATTTTGGCGATTAGCAAATGGTGATCTGAGGTTATATCAGCTCCTCTTCTGGTTCTCACATCCTCCATAGTCCTTCTGAACGTTTTGTTGATACAGATATGATCAATCTGGTTTTGAGTAGTGTGGTCCGGATAAATCCATGTAGCTTTGTGTATGCGTTTGTGTGGGAATATTGTTCCGTTGATGCCGAGTTTTTTGAAGGCACGTAGATTTGCAGTTCTCACCATTTTCGTTGCTTTCTCCCAGTCCATGTCGTCCCATGATGTCTTCATATTTAGTGTTGTCCATTCCAACCTTGGTATTCAGGTCTCCCATAAGAATCGTCAAATCCTTTGGTGAACATTTATCGACGATTGACTGCAGCCTTTCGTAGAATTGATCTTTAACGTCGTCATTGTAGTCATTGGCATGTGCGTAACATTGGATGACGTTCATTGTAATGTCCTGTTTCTTTGTTTTGAAGGATGCTTTAATGATTTCCATCCTATTAGTGCCTTTTGTGCATGTTTGGACAGCATCAGTGCAACTTCTTGTGTATGTGAAGCATTTTCCTCTTCATGACCAGAGTATAACAGCAGTTCCCCTGAAGCTAGTCTCAGTTGTCCTACCTGTGTCTAATGCGTTTCACTGATGCCGAGCACCTCGAGGTTGTATCTTTTCATTCCTGCAGCAACTTGAAATAGTCTTCCAGTCTCCCACAATGTACGAACGTTCCATGTACCTAAAAAAATGGTTGCTCTGGTTGTCAGAAGAGGCATCAGCCCCGTGGCTTCCGAGGGAACTCGGCTTTCATCACGAGACGTCATAATTCTTTTTCCAACTCCCAGGGCAGAGTTAAAATGGTTTGAATAATTTTTTCTGGTTAGCGTTTTTTTGGCAAGTTAGTTTTTGACGGAATGGGGTCGCCAAACCCATGTCCAACCCTCTTCCTTTACCCGGGCTTGGGACCGGCAGTAGCCCCGAAGGTTCTACTGGCGGAGTTACGCCAGTTTACAGGCTGGATCAAATTGTCACAAATGCCTTATCAATTACTGTAAATGTTATAGCAGTTAAATTAAGTATAAGAGTCAGTTTCTGATAGCATATTTACACCGTGTCACTGACAGAAACAGTATAATACAGCCACATTTTTAATAGCAGAGGTCAAATAAGGAAGGTGCACAATAGGTTCTTTTGGCGATTTGAATTTGTTGCTAAAGGTCATATGGAACGCGCTTCATACGAGCTGTGATCCAGACAGTCATGTACATAGGGTTCATGTTCCCTACAGTCGCCAAGGATTTACCACCGTGAATGGGGTTCTGAAAAGGAGAGAAGAGAGAGAGGAAAAAGGCAGCAGTGTGACAAGTGTATGTATATAACCAAAGCACTACTTAACCTGTCATGTTGAAGTAGTCAATACAGTAGTAAGTCAATATAAAATTCATACTGACCACTTAAATCGAAGTAAATTATTGGAATATAAGAATATAACCCACAGATAAAGGAGTACATCAAAAAAGAAGGAAGAGTTGTGCAGTGTCAGGTGGATAGAAGTGAAGTCGAAGTAAGAAGCTGGATTTATGTACGTTGAAATCGAAAGAGTAGAGATTGTAAAAAGAAAACATTGATGATTAAACGTTCACATTGTCTAACTGTTTTTTTTAATTACTATTATTGAATGCCTACCTCTAAGTCATGCTGTAAGCGCTTGAGTAAGAATGTTACATGTGTCTCGACAGAGTAGCGACCTCAGCATAGTTTTGGAAACATGAACCTCAGATGTAGCAAGCGCATAAGAGCAACCTCAGTGTTACTGATCAATCTAAAGAGCCGAAAGCAAACGAAATATTCTGCCTCACAAACATGGGTGGTTTGATATCATCACCCACACCATCAATGTTTACTGGTCCGTAACTCCACCCTCCCTCCTTTTGTGTTGTTAGGCTCATGTTAAATGTTGAAAAGAAACTTTTGAGTTCTACTTGCTGCTCTATGTCTCACATTCTGTTGAGAAACACTATTTCTGCAAGTTCCTTTCACAAACTTGTCTGGCTGTTACAACTAATGAACTATTGGTTAGGCATCAATGCAATACAGTTAACAGCTACGGAGAAATAGTACGGATTTTCAAACAAGATATAAGCATTTAGAATGTAGTGGAGGGATGTACTTAACTAGCTTAGCAGGAGATATAAAGAATATCACGGTTAAAAGTGGAGCAAAAAATAACAATAAGGGATCAAGGTAAGTCAATAGCGTGTGAGAACAGTGTAATTGATAATAGGCAATGTGAAACTCACACAGTTGTAAGTGTTGATAAGGTTGCGCCCAAGAAAGTAGAGTGCGTTCTAATCAACCAGTTTACAGTTGAACAATGTCGATCGACCCAGTGAGTGGAGTAACCTGTCTATTTCAAATAAAAACTAAATAGATTTATGTTCAACCAGAAAAATTCAATGCTACTTGGGAGGGTAAAAATAACTAAATAATACGCAGCACTGAATTCATTGTGTTTAAAGTGTATGCAGAGTTATTAATATGGAAGCAGGGTGCGAGTGAGTTTACGAGTCCAGAAGAGTCAGTGCAACTGAGAGCATCATTAAGAAGTTGAACAAACTCATGTAACCCACTTGCCATGCGTATTTTTGAGGGAAGCCTATTCCATATAAGTGCATAGTTAGAGAGGAAGAAGTTTTCTCGAGTTTTGGATCTATACTTCTCAAGTTTGACCGTAGACACTTTATCTCGTACCTGACTTAACTTTAAAGTTCAGCGAATGAAAGGGGACTTACTTTTATTACCTCAAAGTGCGAAGTAAAATATCTGTACGACTGTTGCAACTCTCCTCTAGAGGTGTTGCAAGTTAAAATGATCTGGACGTCTTGGGACCCTACGATCCAACGTTCCATTAATGTAGACGTCGCATTAGTAATTCTAAAGTAGATATTTTTTAGTTTGATAGTAGAATGTCCCTCTTACTCTTTAATAGCTTAATTGGACCCCAGTTACAACATGATAGCAAACTGTTTACCACCTATCTACAAAAGACGGGAATATACTGAAACCTATCCAAAGGTGAACCACGAAATCACTTTTAGGACTCAATCTTAAACCTAATTGTGAGATTTTCAAGTCTGTCGATCCTCACTAGTTAAAGCAGCGTGCGTCTAGGAGGTGAACTTTTGATGACTCATAGCATTCTAAACACTAATAAATGCTAAGTTCAGAGTGTCAAGAATGAAATCTCACAAGATACGGTACTCCTAGCATTCCTTTTCAAGATGCTATTCCTACAAACAGCCAGGAAATGTTTGTCAGTTAGCGCTAATCACTGCAGATGTTACCCTTTGGAAGCACTTCCCAAGAAGTGTCTGGACCTAATGATAGATAGGTATCCGTCTTGATATGAATTCCTAATGTGTCCTACCCTCAAGTGGGAAATTATACTCAGCGTCAGGTTAAGTTAAAACAAATGGATAAAACAGGAGGTCAGACTGATGAGGCAGCAGTGTAGCTGTCTCCATATAAAAACGGATTAGACTTATAGCTTACGTAGGTCAGTCCAGAGAATTAAATTCCATACTACTGTGGAGCGATTTCATTGTGGATCCGGCCATTAGGGAGGATCAGAGACTTAACGTTTCATTTTCCAGCAGTTTTGGCGACCACTCAACAAAATTTTTCAAAAGTCGTAACACGTATTTCTGTTTTCAATCACCACAACAGAAACGTCTCGCTCTGTCACCAAACATTATGACAGCAAGGCAACATCGTTGAGAAGGTAGTAATATAATGAGGCCACTGGCCACAACGAATAATTAAAATCGCAGCAAACTAGTTTAGTAGATTATTTCACTAGATGGTCTGAAGGATCGCCCATCTCATAGCAAGACAACCTCATGGTTGCGAGTGGTTTGATCACTGATCATTGGGTTTCTCGGTGTGTTGTTCCATTCTCAGTCCATTTTACCTGGGGTCCAGCCTTTAAGGGCCACTTCACCGCCAAAATTTGCTGAATGTTAGGAATGCGGAAAGCAATCCAAATACTACCTGGAAGCCAATGGTCTAGTAGACAGTAAAAATAGGACTATAAAAGACTTGCTAATATCGTTTTTCAATAAGTCGTGGTTTGAATATCGTAATGATGTAGTACTTCAATATCTTCTAGATTATCGCATATTAGTACGTCGTTCCAAATGATTCTCACCCGCTATTTCGGTTTTCGGGATGAATTATGCCTAACGGTTGAGATACACTAACATGTGCCAAGCGTGATTGGTCTTCGTAATCACTTAGCTGATTCATATGACATAATCAACATTGACATAGAAAAATGTCGCTGACCATCCTAAATACTTGTAGTACCGTCAACCGAAAGGACGAGTGTTTAAATCAGTGATGGTGCCCGTGACTCCGTGAGGAAAATGCAGTAAATTCTCTCAACAAAGGAAGAATAACGAAATTGCCTTCATCTGATCCTTCACTACGTTTGTCTTATATTATCTATATTTGCTTCAAGAGAACGTGATAAAAGTTCACCATTACGGTTTGAAAGCAGTGATAATTCATTTGGATGCTCAGTTAGCCTATTCCACGAAGAAGAAGGTTCAGCCGGACGTAAAATGAAACCACAGAATGATGAGTGAGACTAATTTATGAATAAGCTTTCCCTTTGTGTTAAGACCTTGTAGTCCAAGATTCAATGCTCAATACTTTTTTAACGAGCTAGTATACAGCAACTGATTTATTAGCGCTCGATTCTTGTCCCCCCGGTACGGTTCCAGGTTTTTGCTAGTGTCCGTTGAATTGGGTTTTAGACACTAGAATTTAAATATTTATATTTTCTGTAAGATACCAGTACATTGTTTACTCCTTTTTTAGTCCCCGATTATTGTTTTCTTGCTGCTGTTTCATGTCTTCTCTGCTTGTCAGTATAATCCAATTACACGTGTGCCTGACTGAAACGCATGTGAATTATTTTAATTGAGAGCAAATTCTTTGTAAATACTTACTCCGTCTTCTGCTCACGTATTCTCTTGTTATTTCATCTTCCAGATAACCTCAAATACCGTTCATCACACTCTCACAACACAATTTATATTCAGGCTAAACACAAAATTACCAAGGACTGAAGCTGCTTGACAATGGACAGTAATTGCGTAAATGGTGATGGTCCTAAAAAGAAAGTAGCGCTGATTACCGGGATAACGGGACAAGTTAATTTGATTTATTCTTAATGCATATTTTAGGATGGTTCTTATTTAGCTGAGTTCCTGCTCTCAATGAATTATGTGGTAATAATCTTATTTATTACGAGTCGTCTTTAGGTTCATGGTATCATAAGAAGATCAAGTACGTTCAATACTGGTAGAGTAAACCATATATACGAGAATAACAAGTTGTCGTGCGAAAGTATGTCAAATAAATTGTTTACCGTAAACTTGATAGAATCATTTTTCCTCCACTATGGTGATATGACTGACAGTTCTTCTCTGATCAAAGTGATCAGTAAAGTAATGCCCGATGAAATCTACAATTTAGCTGCTCAGTCTCATGTGAAGGTTTGTGCTCTTAATTAATGTTAACTCCATTTTAGGTCTCTTTTGACCTCAGCGAGTATACTGGGGAGGTTGTTGCTATCGGCACCTTACGCTTGCTGGATGCTATTAGGACATGTAAATTGGAAAAATCAGTTAAGTTTTACCAAGCTTCCAGCAGTGAACTATATGGAAAGGTCGTTGAGACGCCACAGAATGAGAAAACACCTTTCCATCCGAGGTCACCATATAGTAGGTTTGAAAGTCAATTCTTTGTTTTATAATTTAACAAAAGGCCAGACCTTTCATTAGCAGACTCAGTTTGTTATATTTTTACATTTACTGGATGACTAAAATAACCCTGAACCTAATGCCACAGTAACCAGACGAAGATATTAGCATTTGCACATTGAGCAGCAAAATTATTTTTCTTCTTTAATTGTTAAAGTCTAGCAGCCATCGTGAATTGCATACATTCAAGACGATAGTCATTCCAAATACAGCCATTGAATTATAATCTTACGTTGGCAAAAACTAAAATTGATCCTAAAAGTAAATGGGTCTTTCGTAAGGTTTATTTACTTATGTTAACATCTTAAACTTAGTTGCAACAGTGGTCTTTTGTCGGTACGACAATGTAGGATTCGTACTCAAATCAGACTGATAGTAATTAGCATAAAACCTCATGTGTTATCAATTTTTATCTGCTTATAACTTGGTTTTAATCACATCTTATTCACCATGCCTGCGTTTCGCTCTTTGGTTATCCTGCTTGTGCTACTCGCGCCTTCATTTTTCCTAAATTCGAGGAAAATTTATCTGAACATTATTTACTTCGTAACTGGACTGTCGTCATACAAAATATACTGAATTGGAGAAACCAGTTTGTTCATACCGCAGATCGATTTTCAGTATTTCACATGAAGTCTACAATCGATCACTTTTGTCTCACTGATCACAGTTACGAAACAAATGATTTTCAGTTAAACCTTTACTGGGTTTACAGAGAAAATAAATTGTCACTACTTATGAAGGTATAGTGATTTAACCATTTGAAATAATAGAAATAATTGTCACATTTAGTTTTGCATAATGATGTAATTTTCTTTCTGTGCGTTCGGGTAAGGCGTTGCTAAACTGTACGCGTATTGGATTGTGGTAAATTATCGAGAGTCTTATGGAATGTTTGCATGCAATGGGATTCTGTTCAATCATGAAAGCCCTCGGCGTGGAGAAACGTTCGTTACTCGAAAAATAACGCGCGCAGTTGTACGAATTAAAAAGGGTCTACAGGTTCGAATATTTTTATATTTAATTAATCATCTGAGATATGTTTACGAAATTAAATAAGAGTTTTGTTCCAAACAAGTTCATTTTTGAATGCGATTCATCAGTATTTAAATGTTTTAGTTATTCATATCTAATAAGAGAAGCTTATACATGCTTCGCAACAATTGTTTTCTGTTGTAAATGGAAAAATAGGCGCAAAATATACCGTTGTCAACACTATGTAAAAGTAAGGCCTATAAGCTCTTGGACTTACCCTTAACCGATTCATATTTCTCATAGTACTCTAAAACTGAATTCCTTCCATATGCACTGAGACTGTGATACTATAAATGCTCAAACATGAAATAGCTTATCAATGCTAGAAGAGTGATACCTCTACAGACATAAAAAATAGGAATCAAATGTTCGGCGCTTTAACCTGATAGTGAATGTGAAATGTCCACTCATTTAAATTTACTTCGGAAACACTTGAGCTTATGACCGCTCATGGAGCATAGGCCATTGACCAGCATCAGTCCAAATCGTCTAGATGCATCCAAGTTATCCACTATATCCTTGCTTCCCCTGAGGTTCTCATAATTCAGTCAATCACCAGAATAGAGTAAGCAGCCTTGCATGACATTGGTATTTACTAGAAATGAATATGTAAACTACCCTACATGCACGATTTTCAGTGAAGTCCATTTCAATAGTTGCGTATAATGTTGATAATCCTTTCAGTCACACCATATTGTTGTAGAAGTCTCTATAATGTTCTATTATCAACGTTGTTATATACTTTATTCTAGTCAAGGGAGTTGATGAGTTTCATTCAGTTGATTGTTCAACAATGATTCGTAGTGCCGCGATTTGGTCAGTACATCATCGGCTCTTGTGGACTTCGGCCTGTCGATCTCAAACTCGGGCGTCCAGTCAATCTTTCATTTAGCTTAACCACACTCTGTCGAAGACATTTCCTGGTATTGAGAGTAGACTGATGCCTCAATAATTCTCACACTTACTGAGATCTTTCTTAGGTATGTTGATAAAATGTCCTCATTTCCAGTCTACCGGTACTTGTTCTTCCTCCCAAACCCTGCGGCTCAAAACTTTGAAAAGTTATTGCTTCCTTAATCACTTTTCAATTGTTCTTGATAGTAGTTTCCTCCTTAATTTGATTATGTAAAACCCGAAGTTTTTCCTAAGAATTATCTTGAAGTCGCTAAGTTGGTTGGCATCTTGAGTGCATTGAATTTTTGTTCCTTTCTCCCGGTTCATGTCGGCGTATGATATCTTCATTTTTAGTGTTGTCCATTCCAACCTTGTCGTTCAGGTCTCCCATCAAAATTTTCAGATATATTTCTGAGCATCGTTCTACGGTCGACTGCAGCTTCTAATGGAATCGACCCCTACCGTCTGCTTTGTTATCGTTGCTGGGCGCATAGTACTCGGTCTCATACACTGTAATTCCCTCTTTATTTGTCTTAAAGGATGTCATAATGGTCCTGAATCCTTGAGATGCCTGTCCTTGACGAGTTTTCCGGTTTGGAAACTTGTGTTCAAGGCATTCCATTCTTCATGACCAGCGTAAGACAGCACCCCTCCTCCGGATTTAATCTTTTCTGTTTAGCTTGCATACAACAAATTTCACTGATTCCGAACACCGCCGGATCTTCACATTTTCGCGGCTACTTTGATGGTCTTCTCGGTCTCTCACATTGTGCGGACATTCGGAATATCTTCGTTAGTAGTTGCTCTAGTTGTCAGAAAGGCCTTTTAACTCCGAAAGAAACTTGGCTTTCATCATGTTCGTCATAACTGCTCTAAACGAAGACCCTTCATTTCCGAGGTCAGATCTTTAGTGGGTAAAATTATTTTTCCCGGTTAACGTCTTTGTAGGAAGTTTGTTTTTACGGGATAAAGTTGCTAACCCCACGTCCACCACTTATCTCCTTTTCATGTTAGGATTCAGCTGTAACTCTAGGCAGAATTTGTCTCGAAAATTCTTCAATTGTCAGCGATTAACGTTTAATATCAGTTCAGACTTTTGCTTCATAAAGCATGTAACTTTACTAACATTTGTTTGCTGTCATTTTACTTATAGCGGAATATTACTTGATAACAATACTCTACAATAATAGTGCCTATCCTTCAGCTACAGCATGTGTTATTAATAGGTTTATTGGTGTTTTTAATTAATTTTACATTGAATAGATTTCTGTACTTTACTTATTGTAGTACATTTCCTTTTAATTGTTAGCAGTGCTGACAATCCGGCTCTGTTACCTTACATCCCTCTGTTAATATTGTGTTGCTAAGAAAGTACTTTACAGTACCAATATAAATTTAAAAATCGTTACATTTTTCGTTTTAGTATCGCGATACATAGAAACATTTTATATTCGTTAGTGGTGAATTTGGACATCATTTATTTTTGTAACTGAGTGCTTTTAACAATTTTATCCCACTCTGTATTTTTAACTCCTTTAATCTAAAGTTTCTATTATAATTTCCTATTTCGTGTGTAGAATGTTTTAGAATTAGGTAATTTAAACGCTGAGCGTGATTGGGGATTCGCTGGTGATTATGTTAAGGCTATGTGGCTTATGCTTCAACGTGATACACCAGAGGATTTTGTTATTGCATCTGGAGAGAAGCATTCTGTACGTGAATTTACCAATTTAGCTTTTGAGCATGTTGGAATCCATTTAATGTAAGCAAAAATATATTGCTTGAGTATTTACTTTAATACATTTTTATGGTATTCTGAATTTTCTGTTGAACTTGGCACTAATTTTAGGTGTTTAATGTATGATATAAATTATCCGATCACTGAAAATATATATTTGACACGATATTTTTGCACTCTGCAAAGTACAGTATTATTTCATTTTGTTAAACGTGCTTCACATTCATAATTTTAGAAAATGATCGTATAAGTTACGGTTCACACAATCTCCCTTAATTTACGTTGTGTCCTAAACAATTAGACGTCCCGAGATTTGAACTGAATGCATCTAAGCATGCCACTAGAAACATAACTTTACGAAGTGGTAGCTCAAAAATTATCTTAATTTGTACTGTAATCTATGGATTATTTTTTCAGCTTTTTTAAATAATGACGTTGGTCAACAAGGAACGATATTTTTTCGAACATTTCCGTTAAATTTGCTACATGCTACCATTTTTAAGAAGAAAAAGGATTTTAAAATGTAGAAACTTAATAGCTTAGATGGATGGCTACGGTGGAGTTGCGCAACCAAAATATCCGGCTCAGAATCAAACTCTACCAAAAGAAAAAGATACGGGAGTCTTCGAACACTTTATCATGTGATTTTTTTTCATAATTATATAAACTCATATTTATCGAGTCATTAGGAATACGATTGTATAGTTTTAGTTTGCAGCTTGAGTTTTAAAACCATAGCTTCAGCATAGGATTTGTATTCTACGCCTTATAAACAGTTTCTTCAGGGACTGCCAATCTAATTAATGTATTTTCAGGTAGCTTGTATCTCTCGTTTTGTTGAATTAGATTTCCGATGTCGATTTACAAGCCTGCTATGCATCAATCATTTGCTTGTTATTGTTATTTAGTAAATTAACTAGCTGTTTTATTGAAGTCAGTGCATCGATTTAGTAAGATAATCGTGGTGGGATTTTGCTTAGATATTCGAATTATCCAAACAATTGAGGTGGTGCCATATAATTCAAGATACATCTCCAAAGTTTTGTGCTCAGTGTAAATGATTTTCAAAGCTGTTTTTGAAATGCATAAGACGTGTTTTCCAACTGCCATACTGTTAATTTCTGTTGAACTATTTCTTTGTTTAATCACTAACTTTGAAAGCGTTTTAAATAATCTTAATTATCTCTAAATAAAATTAGATGGAAAGGAACTGGTATTAATGAAGTTGGTGTTGATTCGGAAACTGGAAATGTTCTTGTTCGTGTCAATGAACGTTATTTCCGTCCTGCCGAAGTAGTAAGTGCATTATTTCATCCATATTTTTCATCAGTTAATTGCTTTTGCTAATCTAATTTAATATCACATTGTAAATTGTTGTCTATTCCTACATCAGTTTATTTTCTTCATATCCTATAAATGGTAAGGTTATTGTTCAGTGTTTTATATATTAAAATTTCGACTAATCACTTATTTTCAAGCTCAGTATTTTTCTAAATCTCCCTGTGTTTCTATCTTATTCCGAAAAACAAGCTAAACGTTACTTCACTGTGACTTAGAAAGTGTTTAACAATTATATCAAATTAAAAAAAAACTGCATTGTTAACTCAGACGTATTCAAAATAATTGGTCGTTAATATTGTAACTACTAAAAAGTGATAGACAAAGACTGTCGTTTAAGTTCTTGTTTGACCGAATATCTTGTCTATGAATGGTAATCAGCGCCGTTCAAATTGAATTATTCTGTATCTCTGATCATTTAGAGCACAATATATCGGGCATTGAGCAATAATTCTTTCCTGATGACGTCAGTGAACTTTTTGAATTAAAACAAAATATCTAAAGTTGGACTCACATTCTAAGACTAATTATCGAAAAATTCATTTGTAAACTCAATAAAGTGACTTTGTGGAGTAGTTCATCCGGTTTACGGAATATTTAAATACTCAACAAAATATATCTAAATATTTTGGTTTTATGCATGGAAAGCATTTCTTAAACTAATATAGTGCATTCATTAATGTTTTCGCAGGATCTACTATTAGGTGATTGTACACGAGCTAAAGAATTACTAAAATGGGAACCAACTTATAGCTTTACAGAACTTGTTAAACTAATGGTGGATGAAGATATGAAATTACTGGAGTCTGGCAGAACTCCTGTATAACTAACTTTCAATGTGCTTTCTTAATTTAATCTGAACTTTATTTGTTTGTACTTTTTTTTATTATTTGATATAAATTGTTTTCTATGAATTGCCTATTGCTTTCACTGTTTCTCTTCGATTAAAAGCGTTATTCCTATCTAGAACAGATCACTATTACCACTTGTTCTGTATAAGATTGTTAACCTGGGATATATCTTGGGAATTGTAACTCAAAGCTATGTTGATGAAACAATCCAACTTAGCCTATAAAAAATCGACCGAAATTTAATGCTGAATATCAACGATATGATAATAGAAACTTAAGAATGAATTGTATACTATTTGAATAGGATTTGAACTCAAATGTTTGGTGGTGAATAACAGAGTATTTAAAGTAACAGGTACTGGTCAGTTAGTCAGTCAGTTAAAACGTAGAACTTCGTACGTACGTTCATCAGTTCAGGCAGCGTCAGCACAGAGACGCATTTGTCAATTCAAGTCCCATAGTGGTAGCGATAGTAGAAGTAGTAACTGTACTGGAGAAGATTAGGAATCGAAGATATGATTCGAGGAGTATAATTGAGTGAGATAAATTTGGAAAGTGAAAGATAGAGATGATGAGGAATTTAGAAGGTTAAAATTTGCGAGAACACAATGGTTGAATGCACCTGCGTCATTGCAAGCGATTTTGAGCCATTTCGTTTGAGGTCTATAACCATTGGTGACTTTCGTCTTCCGGACCCCAAACAGGTAGCCTGCACCTACCGAAATGACCCAATACACTTGTCAATGACTTTATGGATTTGTGCCATGTTTTGGTCTGGCCACCCTAGCTTTCTTCCAACCTACTCCCACACCACAAAAAATAGCTCGTCGACGAGGCAGTTGGGCATTCGTAACGCATGCTCCAACCACCTCAACTGATGGAGTTTCAGTAACTCATCTATTGATTTGCCATTTCTGCATAGTACTCGTTTCCTAACAAAAGCATTGCTTATTCGGTTGTCCTGCGATACTCGAGTAATGCTTGGAAGGCATCAGTAATCGAATACTAGTAACCTACGAATGTTTTCTACTCTTAACGGCCATGTTTCGCAGATATAAAGTAGTATAGAGCGAACTACTACGCAGTACACTCGTCCTTTGGTTGGCGAATGGATAACTCACCTGCGCTATAGGTGAAGCAAGTTGGAAAACGCCGATCGAGCTTTCTGTATCCGTGCCGAGATTTCGTCAGTCACCAGGCCATTATCACTAACGAGACTCCAGAGATAAGTGAAGCGGTCTACTCGCTCAACCACTCTACTCCCTATCACTAGTTCAGGTGCCGATACAAGCCAGTCTTGAAGCAACATTTTGCATTTCGAGGGCGAAAACCGCATCCCGAACTTGCTTGCATTGTTGCTTCGGTTGGTCAAAAGACTCTGCATTTTGTCAGCGTCTTCACCAAGTAGGACTATGTCACCGGCATATGCTATGTCAATAAGCAAGCACCCTGGTAGAAGGTCCACTCCTGAAAATTGAGACGAAGATAATGTTATATCCAGAATCATGTCTACGACAAAGTTAAGCAAGAGTGGACATCCCTGACGAACACCACGTTGAAGTAAAGAATTCAGATGCCAGTTCTCCAAGGTCCAGGAAGATAACTATTGTAGGACGCCTAAATTTATGTCTGTGTTCCAGGACTTGTCTTAGTGTGAAGATGTGGTCTATACAGCCACGTCCAGGCCTGAAACTATCCTGGTTTTCTCTAGTGTGCTCTTCACGAGCTCTAGAAACTATATTAGTTAGACTGATTCTCCTGTGGTTGTCACAAGAAGACGTTTGTCGCTTCTTATAAATCGGGACAATCAAGGATTGGGACCAGTCAGATGGGATTACGTCCAGTTCCCAGATTCTACTTAAGATCTCGGTCAGTCTAGCTGCTAAAACTGGACAAGCATCCTTAAAAATCTCAGGAGTCAATCTATCGGGTCCTGCTGCTCTCTCTTGCTTCAGATTTGGTTTATCTTTTTCAACTTCATGAGGGTTCGGAGGGCTTACGTCGACTTGCCGTTCAGGATGACTGGAGATCGTGGGTAACCGAAGTGTGGCTGAATGCCAGTTGAACTGATCCCAATATCTGTTCTATAAGATCCACCCAGGTGTCTTTCATTTTCACTGAGTCGACCTACTTGAGCATCAAAGTCGCCCGCCATTATTACTATATCAAAGTGCCTAACTTTTTGGAGGAGGTCCGAAAGTTTTCTATAAAACTCATCTTTCACCTCGTCTGAACTGTAGTCAGTGAAGGCGTAGGCAGATACGATGAACAAGCAACGGCGAGTCTCCCTATCTTTCCGAGTCCTTACTGTCCCGTTTAGCCTGACAGCGTACAAACGAATATCTACTGGGATCCAGTCTAGGAGGGCTAGTTCTGCCCTACGACTCTATGCTATACCTACGCCAGCGAGACCACGAGAAGCAGGGCTTTCAGTTACATGAAGGGTAAATCGAGCTGCTTCTTTATTTTGGCAGGTTGAAATCAAATTAATGATTTTACCAATATTCTGTATGCGCGTCTCCGTGACGCAGCATACATCGATGTGGCGGGATTCCAAAGTCCTAGCTAATGAAGCCTGTCCCGTGTGCTGGTATGGATATGAGGGCGGTTTTCACTTACCGGCTGCCCCTACCATGCAAGGGTGTTTCTTGATGGACCTGAAAAGAAAGGTAGGTTAGCGTTCGTCTTAACGACCTAGTAGCGTGACTGCAGAGCCCAAAGGACAACTGCTTGAGGCCGGTCACACATGGCCTTTTTATGAAGTTATTGTGTTAACATCGCTCTTCAAAAGGCTTCTGCTGAAGATGGAAATCCGTGAGGAAAGGCGAGGTGTGACATTTTTAGGGTCGACCTTTTCTAACCCCTTCCTTCCTTGTGAGCAGGTAGCATCGCTGTAGCTGCTGGTTGTCCGAGGGAAATACGCTACTGCTGTCACACCCTTCTACAGTCAGCAGTACGACTTCGCCCTCAGACCTTAAGTTGCTGCTTTTACTCTTATGGTTCTCCAGTCGACCTATCTGGCACGGTGGGACCTCAAGTAGCGTATTCTCTAGCCAATTTATCTGGGTTGGGTCATCACGATAGGCAAGCCCGACCACCACGACAAGGTAGTAGCTATGACTGTGTACAGGTACTGGGTTCGAGTCATACTAAGGGTACGATCACTGAATGTTCTTAAACAGATTGAAATGTCCGTTCAGTGCTATGCACAATCTAAGTGTGCTAATAACAAGGGCTATTATCATCGAATCTAATAATGCTATGAACAGTAGCGGAAATTCAGTTTTTATGTTTAAAAGTATAATTCCAGAAAAAACAGATTAGACTAGTATCAATAAACTTGTATTACCACTAAATAAAATCTTACTTGAATAATCCTTTCAAGAGCTAGTTTTAAGGAAAATAAATGGGCATGTACTTTCCATCTCTAATTCAGTGTAGGTTTACTCGCTGACAGATAGCTTCCTAGTATACAATTACTACAGTACACTGTACGTCTAATATTTTAGCTTTTAACACACAGTAGTTTAGAGATGAACTTATTATTTTACCCCACCTGCCGTAATGCTTAACAACTCTATGAATTTCTTCAACTTTATCGAACGTAGTTTTTATCTGAAGCCAGTATTTTCCGATGGAAAAGTTCAGTCTTCAAAAAGTCCTAATTTGAAATCCTGATTACCGTCGTTTTATTTCATTTAGTAAAATCGTATGTATTATTAATGCATATAGTTATATTTCTTGTGATAATTGTTCTCGATATCTTCCCTACATACTGTTAGTTAAATTCTAAACGAACCGAAATATTTTCATACTAGGTGAGAGAAAGACTAGTGTAGATTGTTAGACAATAACTATCATCTATGGTTTTCTGGAGGCTAATTAGCCGAAATCGATTTTCAACACCAGTTGATAATGGCTAAAGATCCATCGAAAATCCGTTAGCACTGGACAACAATCTTTTATTCCGTTTTGTGAGTCTTCTTCTGTGAACACCACATAGATCATGAGGCGTCACTTCAAACACGAGATTATTAAGATATGATTCTTTAGTTCAATGTTCTACATTTATAAATTTTGCTACACTGTTCTCACCAATTAATATCGTTCCATTACTAATGGAGTCTCAGAATAATGTGAGAAAACTGTTTAGAATTCTTTAGTTATCAATAATCCTATAGTTGGTGTCATTTTAAGATAAATGTCGCTGAAATAAGAAGAACATTATGTAGGACTGAATGGTTATATCGTCCCAGATAAGCTTCACTGAATAACGAGAACGATTTATATCTATGAGATTCATTTTCGTAGAAATATACTTCAAAAACATTGAATTTATTCAAGTATATACTGGAAAATCAACCTGTGGATGGAATTCGCATGACAACTGGGAACATTCACTGTTATGATAAAAGTCGGTCAAGCTTTATTTAGTACATGATATAGTTCCTCCAAAGATGACAGCCAAAACAGGTATATGTTAGCGCATTTAACGTTTGAAATCGAACTTAACATCTACGGCCACAAAAGTTAGTCGGTGATTATTTTCTTTTTCCTCTTTATCGGGTCGAAGTACATGACCCAAGATCAAATAGGGATTAGATTCGAAGACACTAAATTAAATTGGTTGCATGGAAATAATCTTCGCATGCTGCCTACAAGAAAGTTTCTAACTGCTGTAATATCAATGACATCCTGTAGACATAATTAGCGCAAAACTTATACTCACAGCGATCAGAACTGACAATTTTTGATAGCCTTATGTGATCACCTCTGTGCTCATAAGTGTTCACATTCCTTACTAACCACATGAGAATTGCCAACTTCGGCAATGAACGCATTTAAAACGCAATTTCATTGGTTTTAGTGCTAAACATCGCTGAATGAAAAATTCAGTTTGCAGTATATAATGAAGGACAGTTGAGAAAGTCCAGCACCCACTGATTCATCCTGACTGTAAAATTTGAAAGTCATTAAAGCGAATCAAACTATACGACTTAGAGTTATGTCCCTTAGCATGGACATTTCTAATAGTCATGACGATGGCACTCACTACATAATCATCTGTATACTTTTTCTTAAAGTTGACTCCTAGTCTCAAATTGGCTAATTTTGTTTCTTATCATCTTTCAGAAGCTGAATCACGAGTAATTGCAATCGTAATTTAAATAACTTGAAAGCAAAGGTAAGTTTATTAGGTGTATTTCATTGACTAAACTTCTTAGTAAACGACTATATAAAACCAGGATGCATCGGAAAGCTGTTGAGCTTTAATTTGTATGTGTACATGTGCTTATTTAGGGTCCGTTCAAGGGACTTATTCATGCTTCCTAATTTTGCGGTGAATGCATAACTTTCAGACCACTAAGTTGATATAACAGCAAACAGAAGTAATTACTGTAGTGAAATCGTGATTATGTCAGGCGTAAAATACATCGCCTACGTCAATAAGTGATCATCACGCAATATTCTAAACTAACTGAAGTAAACCAGTTAATGCCGATTTAGTGGTCTAAATTCAATATCTGGTGAGTTCATCGACGCACATGGCCTATAAGTACCGTACTAAATATAAAACATCAATCCGGTGCCTCATAGTTTTAAATGCTTGTTCAACTAGTCATTTTATGATGTATGACTACGAAATCCAAATGTCTCCGCAACCTTATTTACTAGAAAGATAATTCGCTTAACATCCAAATTTTAGCACTTTCAACGTTTAGTTAATCTTAGAATGTAAATAGAATAATCAACAAGAATATCTGTCACGTAAATGTAAGCAACAGTTATTGTTAATAATAAATATACAATTAAGTTGTCACCGTTTATGATTGTATGTAATTATTATAACTGATTAAAAAACAAATAAATCAAATTTATAATTTCAAAAAAAAAAAGATGAATACATGTATATCGCATGAAAAAAAGAAAAATTACTTAAAAGACAAACAAATGAAAATACAAAACCATTCATTAATCTAGTCAAAATCACGAACCGAAAAGCATGATGTTAACAAGTGAAAAATGATTAAATTTGAATAAGTTGAGTTCAACAAAGTTCATGAACACAGTATGCCATACAGATATTGTCTGCTTTTTCTTTTCTATTGTCATTATAAAAATAAATTATGTGTCATCGAATTGGTATATAAATAGTAATTAGATTAACACTAAGCACACTTGATTATTATTAATCGTCGACACACGAACAAGCTGTTTCACAATCAAACCTTATACGTGTATAAGTATAAGCAATTTGGTATGGCTTAATTATAATGTTAACTTACACCAAGAAAGCAACGGTCAGACGCAATAAAGATTAACAACTGAAACACTATCTTTCTTTTTTAATGCTCAAGTAAACAAATCTAGGCATCAAACAACCAACAGAGAATACAACATACCCAGAAGACAGCAGAATATAAATTCATTTATCTCATGTTGTACAGTTCACCAACTAAGAATTTTTTTTGATTTAGTGTGCTTATTAGTAATGATCAATTGATTGGTTAAATTTCAATATTTTATCCTTAGGTTGAAATCAGTCATACATAGAAATGTGACCACGAAGATATACTGAAGGAAGATTACTATAATCCTGTTTTGTAAACGAAGTAGTGAATAAGACATGATCAATTTGCAAAACAGCTGTATTAATCAAAAGATAATTTATATACGTTTACGTAAATCAACAGATAACAATGAATTTAATCAGAGGGAAATCAACTATATAGCAATGAAAAACAAGATAAGTTCAATTATTGACATATTGGTATATCCAAACGTACAAGCAGTTTGCTGCTGATTCACTCCAAATTCTTGTATTAGAGCACAAAAATAAATAGAAATAAATCATCATAGTTCAGCCGATGTGACTTCATGTAAACCATGAGCTAGCAATGTTGGTGGCAATGCATCTGTCAGTATACTCAATTGATTCAAATAAATATCAGCTAATGATAAATCTGAATTTGGTTTAGGTAAGTAAAGAAATAAAGCCGTTGTATTCGGATGACAATGAGACAAAATTAATTGGTTTAAATAGATTATTCTTCTGTTGTCATTATTATTGATATTTTTTGATATTAAATTTCTCTTCATCACCGAACTATCCACATCAACCAGATGTATTTCAGCCTACAAAGAAATAATAATGAAGTGGAAATATGAATGGTTCTACATGTTAGCATGATTGAATGTTGATGACTGGAGAACTACTTAATAACTACTTCCTACATTGAAAAGTGACTCCCTAACTAATAAACCTATATAAACCATTCATCGTATAAAGTAACAAAATGTATAACAATATTTCAAGTCGAATTTCATACATATATGGAAAAAGATACAATGAGTCAATCTGAATAGGTGATAGACTAGGTAGATGTGTATAACACTATGGGTATATAATTGAAGCTCAGAAAACTGTTTAACTGGTTAAAAGGATGAACAACCATGATGGGAGACAATCGACCTTATATTATAACGTCACTTTAATAACAATTATTACACGTATTTAACTTATTTTTTATTTTTTTATTTAATAATGTCCAAAGTGATTATTCACACTGAAATACATTCTCACTTGATTGGCTCTTGTATGAATTGTTTGGTTAAATGTTTACATCTGCTGTAAATCAATATCATAATTAATTTCAACTTTATTCACAAACAATAAAATACGACTATATACAGTGACTACTGTTGTACAACAAATGATATATTTATTATTCTATAGACTCAATAGTCAACTATGCTTCTTGTACAAAAAACGAATTCATCTCTTATTTATTCTACTAATGTTTTATGTAGTTTATCATTAATTTTGTCATGGTACTATTGATTTTAGTGACCTATTTATTTGTTTTGAAACTAAAATGAATGAAATATATATATTTATATTTTCATAACCATGAACTCTCTTTAGTTTTCCATATGAACCATGGATTCCATGACGATGCAAATAATATTTTAAATCATTTAAATATAATAAGAAAACCGTAGTTTAGCGTTACTTATACAGCCTTTTTATGGGAAGTTTTTGAAGTGTTAGCTCCGCTTTTCAGTAGGCCTTTCGCTGAAGACGAAAGTCAGTGTAGTAAAGTGAGGTGTGCCATTTTTCGGTCGACCCTTACTTCTGTTATTAGAAGACAGCATCGCTGCAGATGCTGGTTATCTGAGAGAACCACCTACATGCTATTACACTTCTCTACAGTCAGTATTACGACTTCCCTCTCAGACATTGAGTTGGTTGGACCTAAAGTAGCGTATTCTCTAGGCAATATAGCTCGGTTGGGTAGTCACGATAGGCAAGTCTGACCACCACATCGTGGAAGCTACGACCAGGGAGGGTTTAAAAACTATGCATCAAACGAATTTCAGACACAGATTAGTTGGAATTCATAACCATAGACGAATTTTTACGACCAGTTTTGGCAATATATATGATGTAAGAATTCTATAATAATCTCATGTCGTTTTTCTCTATAAAAGACGCAATTTGGAGATAATATGTCAATTAAACTTTGACTGAAGTAATAGGTTAAATTATCATTATAAACTCCGAACTGTTTACTTTGAAAAAAGGAAACAAATAATCACTGATAAAACAATTGTTTATGTGAGAGGTTAAAAAATGCATGTCAACCTGTTGACTTACGGGAATTCGTAAATTTTTTAACAAAGTTGATAGTTGACAACGTGCTTTATCAGTTGACGTAACAACCTCACTAGATGGGTTCATTTCATTTAATTTAGGTAAGTAAGGGAAAAATGCACGCAGTTTTGGTGGATGACGACGTTTACGCCAATAAGGCGATCTAGCAACTAAACAGGCAAGTTGTAAGAGAAAAAGACCAGTACGATCAATTATTTGTTCGTAAACCCCTTCACATGATGATGACGATGATAGATATGAATTTTCACCATAGAACTCAATAAGATTTATTGGCCATATATCAAAGAATATAGCTTTTGAAGTGTCTACTATATAAGGATTAACTTCAGACATTGAGCCAGTTTCAGCCATCATTGAACCTGCATTATAACCGTCATTGTAATTGAAATCCATCCCTTGTGAACGATGAGTTGGACGAAAAATATTACGGAAATAGTGTCGAGTTGTATCCCAACCGGATATACCTTCATCAAAAATAACTCTGTCAAAATTTCGAGCAAGTACAACATTGGTCTGTAAAAATTTAAGAGAAAAGATTACAAAGGAAAAAAATACTTCAAGTTTATTTTCGCAATAACCAACGCTTTCAATTCATAACAATGTTTTATGTGGAGACAAATCTTCGGCGCATAATGGCAATGACTCTTGATTTTTGAAGCATCTATATGAAAACAAATTTGAGGAAGATAAATGACTTTCGGTGTACATACTAAAACTGAATGTTTTTCCCGTGATACCTTACCATAATAATGTACCACTTATTTAATTGGAGATAAATTTTCAAAGAATGATGAGAAGGAAGGTGGGGAAATATTACAAACAAAACTGTGTTGATTGGAAATTGTCTTGCATGCATCTGCAAAAAACCACTTGGTTTGTAAATAATATACACTACTTTTAAGCATATAATTAGTATGGATTTCAGTGACTGAAATGAAACTAGTGCATAAAATTAAAATTTTGAAAAACTTATCCAGCAATAACCTGTATTGATATACTAAACAGTTCAGGACAGTGAGTGAATTTATCAAGTTAACAAATTTTAAGAATAGTTTATTCCTCAGTAAACTTTCATTGAACATGGTGACAGACAAGTAAGGTAGGATATTACTTATAAAGGCCACTTAGACTAGTTTTCAGGTACCATGGTTAAATTAAAGCCCACATAATACTTGCGAATTACAGCCACTTAGTACCAATCACAATAAATAACTAGTGAGCAATAAGTACGTAACACAAAACTTCATTGGAACAATTTACATCATTATTTAGAAATTGACGAGTGTTTAGATAAATACAGGAAAAAATACACGGTTTGAATTAAAACAAAAAATGTAAATTAATATATAGATGGTATTACTACTAAATCAAAAGTAAAAGAGCAAACCATAATTTGCTACTGGGTGTGTCTAGCTACTTATATAATTCAGTAGTACTGCGTTTACTGCAAAAGAAAATACAACAACGGAAAGTAGTAACTATTAACAAAAATTACCTCCATATTAAGAATTTCCCGAATGATGCCAACATATTCCTGTGAGGTAAGACGACCAGGACGATGATCCCCGTGAAATTGAAATTCTGAATTATTCTGACTTACAAAAATAGAATTTGAATCGTGATTCGAAATTGCATCGAAATTAGCTAGTAGTTCACTGCTGTTTGTTTGATAAGCTAAAAAATGTTTCAGTTGAAAGACAAGAAAATAACACTTTCAATTAAAGGAGAAATGCTTTATTATAAAATTGCGTAAAGCATATTTTTATAATTTCAGACTATTATAGGTGACTGACAGGATTGTAAATGTTCGTGGAATTTGAAGAACAATTTTTTTGACGCACGTAAATCAGTTCATTTTACATAACCAGAACTCTATAGTTTTTGATCGTGTTTCAGTTACTGTTGAATTCATAATGACAACTAATTTTTAATAAATTGTTGAGTTACTATTTGTTCAAGCCATTGACATGAAATGAGTCTCTGACATTTACAATAATACATTTCTCACTTTAGTTGACACCTAATGTTGATCAAACAATTTCAAAAATTAAAGACAGAAGATCTTGAATAAAATGTGAAGGAAAAAAGAATGATATTGCTACTGATACATCTGCAAAGGCTTACGGAAGTTATCGGATTGAAATGACATTTCTCTTTCAAAAGGGTGCAGGGAGTATCAAGGTTTCAGATCTCTTAATATAGGCTTTCAAGGATTTTCGGCGATAGCAAGTTATGGAAATTGTTATTTATGAAATCCGCCGGAATCAACTGACAGACATAACGGACTTTAGATAATTTCATCCTAGACGATGTTCGTTTAACAAAAAACTTTAAATGTTAGTCGGTATTTTAGAAAATGATCTACGAAAGACAGCTTAATAGTTTCCAGTGGCTACATAAACAAGGGAAACACTTTATTTCCCAAACAAATATAAAACGAAACAAACAGGTATTTAAGCGCATTATCTCACCATTTGTCGTTTGAGCATCACTGCTGTTAATGATTAAATCCGCAGAATCATATGAATGAATATGATTTGGCCATGAACTGAATGTTTTTACTTTACGTTCTTTCCAAATCCTAGCTAATACATCCTATAAGTGAAAGAAGATATTGCGCAATTACTAACATGGAATATCATTATATGGAAAATGTCCGAATTAAAAACTATTCGTTAATCAGTCCAGTGATCATCTCTAGCAGTAAAAGTGTATTTACTCAACTCTGAACTACAATGTTTATAGATAAAAGCATTATGGAGTGACACAAAGACGAGTCAAGTGTAATGAGTGACTGATTAACTGGTTCGGCAGATTGACTGCTAACCTTACTATGTAAGCGATTGTTGCTAAAGTTATCTTGTGAAGAAAATAATCATAAAATATCACAGTTTTATAACAATTGAAGTAAACCACTTTTGTAAACGCTATAAGATGATACAATGTAATCCAAAGGATGGCAATCATTGATAATTTGAGATCGACTAACATTTCAGTACAAAGACAAATGATGTGTAATGTAGAATCTGGGAACGTACATATTGGTGCACGTTGTCGCACTGCATTAGCATGATCAGATGAAACAATAATGGCATATTCCGGAGGACTGGAAGTGGTAACAGTATTACTAGTGGTAGTAAAGAAATTTAGCTTATATAAATGCAAATAAACTAACCATAATAGATAAAACCAGTAGAAATTAAGTTAAATATCTGTTTATTTTTTGTACAATTGTATCAAATTACTTGAAATCATACAGAAAAAAGTGACATACTACTAAATAATGTATTTTACAATAGACGAAGAAAGCATTAAACAGAACAAGCAAAACTTACAACCGATGACTTGTCATCGTAAAATCCTAAACACACTGTGTTTGGACGCATTGCACCCAAACCTGAAATTCGAATCAGATGTGATATAGCTCTGCGTACACTTTGGTCAATTGTTACCTCTACAAACGCTTTAGTTTTTAAATATTTCACATATTGCGTCCAATACCTATGCGTAAAAATAATACAGTTTAATAAATTATTAAATTATGATGTAAAATTCATACAATATAATCCCATGATTATAGATTATCTTACAAAAAAACAAGCATTCACAAGTTCATATTCAATAAGAAAGTCATATTTATGACGGAGACAGTGAATTCACCGAGTAAGAACTAAACTACACACACTAGACACAGTAAAAGTTCTCATAAAGCAGAAACATAAGTTATTCACTTCGATGGAACCACAACAAGTACACAAAAGTAATCTCTCATGTGTTGAAAAAGCGTTAGTAACATAAACATGTTCATGCGCTACTAAATGGAAAATCGAAATAATACTGCCTTATTTATTTGTTAAAACGCATAAATATTAGTGCGAAGGTGCACCAAAATATATTTACTCCACACAATTGCTATGTAGGTTGGGATACTGTCTAGGTACTAAAACAGAAACAGGTGGCTTTCTTAAGGGGTCACGCTCCAAAGATACTTGATTAACTATTGATGAAGAGACAGTGAGTTAGTTTGGAAATATGTTGTATAACACTTGACTGATACAATACTGAAAAAAACCATTTGATAACTTCATATAGTGATAAGTCTGCTCCTTTTAAGGTAGATTATAATCAAGTTATGTAATACACTTTCTTATTCCATAATCAGTTTATTTTCGAAATAAATTTCTACTTACCAACGTTGACTAAGGCATGGATCCGACTGGTCGATAAATCCGTCCGGATCACCATATATTGCATGACCAACCACATACAGACCGCCTTTTTTTAAACTATTCATAAATTGAACAAGCGAAGCTGACGAACGTGGATTTGCAACTAATAACAGTAATTGAAGTCGCCAGTATTTAACATGATCTTTACGGGAATCCAACAACAACAAATATTTACGAATCTACCAAAATAAATTTCATGAATATCATACACTGAATAACTTAAAATAAGGGAAAAGAAAAGTGGTCATGACGCTTAATCGATAATAAGAAACAATATGGTTAATCGGATAATAATGATAACTGAGCTTTTACAAAGCAAGTTAAGAAATTAGTGTATGCTGTATGTGTGTTGTGTCTAGTAAATTCTTCACTATCGTTTTACCTGTATTACCTGGTCTTATAGTGTCATGACTACATGATATCGCTTTCATGTTGACTTAAACAGAAAACTTAATCATAAATCATTTTCTTGCATTGGTAAATACTTGTAACCAAATATATTCTAGGAATATATATATATAGTGAATACTTTTTAATCTGATTGGAATGAAACAAAATACTGATAATGATTCATTGCGATATTTTTTTTAAAGGAAAGTATTGTTTATGAAGCAGTTTTATTTCATAGAATTTTCATTGTACGGTTGTGGAGATTGCTGGGTTTCACTGAAATCAAGAATCGACCAGTGTTAGACCAACACTAGACACCTGAAAACAATGAACAACCGTTTAGTCCTAGTGTAGTGAAGGAGAACACAGGTTAGGGCAACCGAAATGTATTTATCGCAAATAACAGAGTTAATTGGTAAAATAGGAAAACCATATCGTAAATCGTTAATTTGCAAAATATCAATCCATCATATCGAACTGGACTGTTCCTGTTGCAAAACATCAATCCATTATCTGACATTTTATTGTTCCTGCGTTTCATACAAATCTTATTGTGTTCCCGCTCTTCCTTTCTTGATCTTCCACCATCTTCTGCTGCCAGACATTACGTTTTCACTCGCGTCATATACTATTTATAAGTAGCGCGCACCACACTAGTATGGGACTCATTAATAGTGCGCATCCAAGACCCCGAAAGCGGGAACCAAATACAGAACCTTAGGTCTCGCGCGTGAACGCTTAACCTGTAGGATTTAATCAACGCAGAAAATACCATTTCTAATAATAGATCTTCAGTAGGTCAGACTGCGAATCGAAGAAGAGAATTTATAAAGCTAATGTGTTATAAAAATTACGAAATTAAAGTGAAGTAATTAATTCATGTATTACTTATAAATTTAGGAAGATATGCCAGAGGAATACTGAAAGGAAAAAAAATATTCCAATCATATTAAATTCAAATAATCTTTGTGTGATTACAACAGTTTACCTGATGAAATAGAAGCGCTTGTCCAATATTACCCCAAGACGATTCTAAATGACGTTGATATAATGAAAAAACTAGTAGACCCAAAACAAGAAGTGCGATTACTGTATAAATTGGCTGAATTAATAAACACATAATGATACAGCCAACCATTCCTAAAATCGAAGTCATCCAATTAAAATATCGAAATGTTGGCCTAATAAATTGAAACAGAAAAGTAGAAAATATGATAGTACAATAATTGATATGCAAAATCACGCATAAACAAGATGAATGAAGTTCGTTTGCTGAAGATATATTCTGAAATTCAATATAACCACCTCCATGAAAAATATTACTGCTTTCCAAGTAAGTTAATGAAAATAAAGTTTGTTTTATTAATCCTCGGTATGGGCTAAACGTAAAAGCATAAACCATTGGATTATATACCCAGTTTTAGAAACAACTCATTTATAAGACTGTTTTATAGAGATATTGTGTATGTGAATCACACAAACAGCTTTCAAATTTTAAAAAAACGTAAGGGATTACATCTCTATTATTTCGAATTTTAAGATTTAAGACAAAAAGGTGATAGTATAAGATAAAAAGCATCTTCGACCTGTGTTTATGAGACTCGCTAATTTTCCACTTCATATGTGCAGGTATAAAACATGATAAAAAGCATTTGTATCTGTTATAATCCACACCCACTGCTTGCGAATCAAGACTAAAAATTTACATCGTTTTTATGAAAATCGAATCAATTCAACTGGAATGAAAAGTGTTTACTGAAAGTTGTAACTTTGCTTGATTATTCGTGGAACTGAAGGGCAAAATAAAACTGCTTTTAAACTTATTCACTACGTAAATTCCATTGTAGTATTTGAAAAGAAATTCGGAATCAATGTTAGAGGTCATTATGAAGGTTTAACATATCACATAAATCTATTTTTCTTCTCTAGTGTCACAATAAAAATAAATTTAATCATAGTTAGTGTAGAAATTTAATGCATCTTGGTTTAATTAGATCAAAAGAACGAATATTTAATGGTGACCTTAAGGTTACATGATCACGCTTTGACTAACATGTGAAATATTCAATCTACATTACATCTGCTTCAGTTTAGACAGTCGAGCAGTATTATTAGCGTTGACACTTCAATTGCGACTTGAAATGAAGTGTATCAATTTTAAATTAACGAATAAAGTGTAAAAAAAGTAAATTCATGATTCACTAATAACCACTGATATGAAAAGTAAGATACATTGATCAATATGTACAACGAGACCAATGAAGCTAAATGAGTATATTTCGAACAATAAAGAAATAATAATCCTATTGATTGGTATGCAGACAATGAAAAAAAAACTGAGGTTGAATTATCGGATTATTTGTGAAACATTTTTGTTAGTTAAAGTAATATACATACTATGGTTTTGACTGGGTCGTCACAGCACCACACTTACTTTAAAACACTACAAATATTATCTTTCTTAATATATGACATCATGAAAGTATGGAACAATTACAAAATTGTGAAGGCGCCTGTTACGGAGAACCATGTAGCATATACTAGGCCTTATGTAAATTATCTCCATTTTGAATGTTTGAGCAAGTACTTGATAAATGAGTCACAGGCAAAATCAATATATGATATGATGGCTTTATAAATCTAATGCATATAGAAAATCAGAAGACACTATTCGTTACGCTATGAAGAGAAAGTCCAAGTCAAAGTTCCGAATGACAAATGCAACAGTTAATATGTAGTGAAGTTGAAATCAAAAATAAACTTTAAAGAGAACATAGTTTAACAGACTAACCTGAAATTTGGTGGTGAGGCAGCGTCTAAACCAGCGCACGCCAAATTCACAGAAGCATAGGCCAGTAAAAATAGAACAGATACAAGTGGAGCGATAGCATTTAATCTACCAATAAGCAAAATTAGCTATATATTTTAACAAATAGAAAACAAGAATAAACAGATATTGTATGTATAATTGATGTCAAATAAAATTTACAAAAAATTAAAACAAGTAAATAATAAAAAAAGAAAAACATTTAAATCGTCTTCAAATGGAAAACTGAATGTATTTAAGCAACTGAAAAAGTAAGCTACTTTAGATTGGTTACTACATTAACATGAAAGGCACTAAATAAGCCACTCTGTTTGGGTGGCCTCCACGATAAGCTCATTTGAAATAACATCAGGTTCATATTTAATGATTTGAAAGCACTTTGAAGGTGACCCTAACATTGTTAATCAATGAAGAGACTGAAAGACATGAAAAACATATTAAAATATATGGGAAAATCACATTCTATTGGTAATGTTTTTTTGAAATGATAAATTATGTACAAAATTCATATTTACTTAGTTTCAAAGTTTTAATTTTCAGAATAACAAGTACGTAATTATTCTTAAAGCCTATCGTAATGTCAATAGTCAGATCAACAAAATAGTGTATAAAAATTTCTATTATTTGATTCAATTAAAACTGGAACCATTTGCCGATTTCGCACTCTCGTTGTCTTTAAATGTTACATATCATCCTCTAAGTATATACTCGATTCAAGAGTAATGTTTCTAAATAGATAATTAAGACTTGAGTGCTCACGATCGAGGACATATATCTCTTTATAAATGTGAAGTAGATTTACTGGGCTTTATACAGACTTTATTACTAGGATATGGAAAAAACAAGAGCATAATAAAACGGGATGGAGCATTTTAATTAATCAAATAATGAGAATAAATGATATGAAACAAGAAAAAACTACCAGGAACAAAGAATAACGTTAATCAACACTTAATGAATGAAAAAAAAACAGATAAGCTAACAATATTTATGTTATTACCATTTGTCTGTAATTATAACAATAAATGTTCATAAAGTATATACTTTGACTTTTTGCATAAATTCACTAATAACAAAGCATGATTCACGAAAATAAGTATTCATCACAAGTATGAAATCGAAATTCTCAAATAAAAAATCTCAATTATTGACCACTTGAAGTTACTAGTATAATGATATTAAAAATATTATCGAAACTTCTTGAACACAACCAATGGGTTACAAAGTTTAGCAGTGATAAAAAAAGATACACAGATATAGCATAAAGTTGCAAGAAAAAGTAAACGGATAGGGTAAGCGATAGCATAGCTAAAAGAATTTCTTGAAAATCATAGTAAAACAACTAGGATCAAGTAAATACCAACACCAAAAAGCTTTCATAATAAGTAATTGATCAGTAAATAGACATTGTACAACAGTAGAAAAGTGACAATAACCAACTAACCAAACAAAGCAATCCAGCAGAAAGAACTGCAACTATCGGATTTCCACGTTTTGTGGTCCATTTTGCCGGACGAAGAACTCGACCTATTCAAAGCAAAAAGTAAATTACAAAAGTATAAAGTTGCAACAAGTCGTGTGGTAATATATCTTCTTTGATTAGCTTATGTGAATAATCGTATCGACAATATGCACAAATAAGTATATTCTCATTGAATAATAAATGAATATTACACAACAATCTAGAAGCCACCTATTCAATATACAAAGTAATATTCAAATATAGGGATATTTTATCAAGCAATACAATATATAGCTTAAGCTGGGTAAAATTACCGAATAATTCATCACGAGCTATTGCTTCCAATATACGTGAGGCTCCAATAAGATTGCCTAAAGCTGCAGATAATGTGGTTGCAAAGACACCTATTACAACGATTGGTTGCCAAAAACTGATTGACTGCATAAAGATATTGTTATTTACCAACAGATATCTGTGAAATAATAAGGAAGATATACTGGAGAAATAGTGAAACAAATTTATAAAAATACACAAATCAGTAAAATAACTAAAGTTGCATCTTTAAATCAAAAAAAAAAAGATAATGTTAAGGAACTTCCGTCAAAAGAATATTTAAAGTAGTGTATGATATGTGCCTTTGATAGGATTTAAATACACCTCAAACCGATGAAATAAAATATTTTCCCTGAATATTAAAACATTTTAGTGGTTAACAGAGAAGTATTTTGTAGTTAGTTGACAAACTATTAGTAAAAACACTGCTGAAAATTTATTTCCACTTGATAATAAATAACGTAATCTTCAGTAATGGATGATTAAATTTTCAAATCGCTTGGCATAACAGCAATTTAAAGTGACTAGACTTAGTACCTAGTAAGTAGCTAAATAGAAAGCAATAAAGTACAATGAATTCATTGTATTCACCATAAATTATGGTTACAAAAGAATATGATCAGGAACAACAGCAAGTATTTATTACAATCATCAAGTTCAAATAATTTTTAATACTTAATTGTCTTTACACAGTAGACCAGTGTTTAAAATTTCATATTAATAGTTAGTAGATTAAATGATTAATCATAATACTCTAAACATTAGAAAAATATCTACATCTCAGTTGGTTCGCTAGAATATTATCATGCATTTGTTGTAGTTACTCATTAGTAGTTCAACACACGTCGATTTAAAAACAAACAGGAATGACAGGAAACTTAAACATTAAATATGTTGTTTCCAGTCGGAAATAATGACGCCTTTATGATGTCTGAAAGTTGGATTGAATCGATAACTGAAAATTTTACACAACACGGCCTAATACGAGTATAAAATTGCTCTTAATTTTATTCAACATATACAAAAGTTATAACTACAGATCTGTTTATTTTGTGTTCTTTGATGCCAGTTACCAGAGTTTTATTATCACTTTATTTCCTACGTTAAGATGACATAATACGTTTTGAGTTAGTAACGTACCGTTCCAAATCCTACGTTGCTGTGTGACAAATTAAATGACCTGAATTACCCGATATCATGGGATAAAAAAGAATTCTATTGAGTGGAAAAACAATTCATTTGGTTTTCAGGATGCTTATAGATAAAGTAGTTCTCAAATTTCACAGTTTTAAATTATTGATTGAAAGCTGAGAACCATGTCTCCTTAGGAGAAACTAACTGGTGTAGATAGCTCGAAAATTGCTCGAAGAATGTTTTAGAAGTTTAAAAAGAAAGAACTTAGTACAGCAGGCGACACGCTTGATTTCCATAGTCCATATTTTTAGAAAATTGAATTACTTAAGAATAATTTTATGAATGGCCATTAAATGCATAAAATTAGATTGCAGAATTTACACTTATGAGTTACAAATTTGCTTACCGGCTGGTAGAAGCGGCTGAGAATATCATCATAACGAGATAAATCAACAATGTAAAAAGTAAAGCTGATAAAGTTCCCAGAGGGATCGAACGCGAAGGATTCTTTAATTCACCTATGAAACGTAACGAGAAAAACAAGTTCGTCAGAAATTCTAGAAAAGAAATTTTGGCTAACTTGGACATCAGTAACCGTGGTAATATGATGTGCATTACACCAAGTTTACTTCATGTGTTCTCTATTCATCTTTTTTTTTCAAAAGAACCTAGCACTGGAAGATTCATGTCTTCATTATGCCTCATTCCGTACTCAAACATATTTATCGTTAAACGCACGGTGCCCATTGAAACATTTTTAAAACTATAACGACTACTCATTATATGAATACTAACACAAGCCTTATTCAGACTTTCTCTTCATCGATAACATTTATAAATTAATGAATGGGATGCAATAAACATCAGCTCAGTATTTTAATGATTCAAAGCCTAATTAAAAGAACAGAAATATTACAATTCTAGCAAAATAAATATGACCCCAAAGTCTCAGGACAGATAGTTATATGCTTTCATAAGATTGAGCTAAATGTCAGTCAGTTAGTTACAACGTAGAACTTCGTACGTAAGTACATCAGTTTAAGTCGCCATACCACATTAGCACTGAGATATAATTGTCAATTCAAATCCCAATGTAGTAAAGGTAGTAAAAGTAATACAAGTAATGCCTGAAAGTCCCAATTAGTAACAAAGATTGTTTAATCAGTAAAAAGTATTGAATTGATTCATAATAATAATAATAATATTGACAAAATTTATTTTTAATATTCCAGTAGGCAAAAAAATCGATTTTGATACGCTTCAAAATTTCGTGCAAGTTTTTTCTTCAAAAGGGAAGTAATGTTATAGATTGTGGCTTCAAGTTTTGGTGGTTACGTATATGATTAAAGAATGAAGCTGAATTCATGATGCTCAGGGTTGGCAACCTTCAAAAAGCACCTTTTAAAATCGAGAGTAGATTTCAGAATAAAAAAAACCCAGTCACTGCTTAATTTCTTTAAATTATGATGTTGAAACTTGATGATGATATTTAATTAATTCAATAAAGTGGAAGCATTTGAATTAACTCGATAAGATTATTTTTTCGAAACATCATAAGATATATTACTATTTAAACACAATTATTAGTATAAACGGATACCTAAATAATAATTGCGTAAAAACAACCAATGAATTTGTTGGTGAGATGGCTGGGACACTGCCAAGATGCCCAAGCCGAAGTAGGCTTTTGGCCAACAGGTTCAGTCCATAAGGCAGTAAAGCAACACCAGGTGATGCAGTCTCATGGAAATCAGTAACCAACAACAGATGTACAAGCCATTTGTTCCATCAGGATCCTGGAGCTAATCACCACTAAGTAAAATTTTTCATCGTTATTCTTTAGTTACTTTTTTATGATGTCTAATCGTAACAAGCAAAGTATTTACCGTTTCCGCTATTATTATTTGCTCGAAAAACCGCATCGACTATTGAACACTATCTACAAGTTGAACTTCGTCTCCGAAAGTTAACGAAGACTAAGTTAAAGACAATTTTAAAAGCCTGTTCTTTCGTTTTATATGATCAAATATATTCGCAAAATACTATATACAACATATTGCAGTCGTTCCTAGTACTCAGTTTTATGGCTTGCAACTCGTTACAGCAAGCAGTACAAATATGGTTGATGATCTATTTGATGAACTGGTTAACTCTGCTTTTGAAAGACGCATGGTATAATTGTTTGTGACTAACTATGCTATGTACATTCAGATGGCATATCACTCTCTACCCATCAAACATTCTGCATGCCTCGTTTTATTATGGAAGTATGACAATCAACTTTAGACCTTACAGTTCAAAATTGGCAATATATATATATATCATGAAAATTTAATCAGAGCACTTTGAGCAAATAAAGATTGAATGTGAAAATTTCTATGAAATAAAAGGTAAGAGCCACATACCAGATACATTCGCACCGTTCATTATTCCGGTTACACCAGAAAATAATACGGAGAAAACAATGACGAATGATGTCAATGTACCAGTAGTATAATCAATTGAATACATAGCTAAAAATTTAACAGAATCCAGAAATAAATGGCAGCGCAGAGTTTGATATTCGCCATGATATGCATAAGGTAAATTCAATCACAATTATATGCCTATTCTATGCTGTTTCATAAAGTATTGATTTCTTTCACTGCATTCTAGCTACGGTCTTACTACTCAAATGATCAGTTTTTACGACTTCGTTAGTATGACAGTTCCCATAAAAACGAAGATCAGTTACGCAGCAAGTGAGAAACAAAAAGCACAGTGCACAGAAAGGGTTTTTTATATTTTAATACACTGTGTATATGATTTTATATTAGGGTCTAACTTTTGATAGTTTGATTGAATTGAAACAATGCTAAGCATGAAGTACCCGAATCAGTCTTAGTTCTTTTGTACTTCAATGACAGCAAATAAATATTGGAACACGATATCACGATCAATTAAATAAGCAGGAGTATTCCTGATCAAGGAGGAATACAATAAACGTTAATTAAAGAGATTATATATATATATATATATATATATATATATATACTATCGTATTTAATCTCGAACAATCGGTCAATGAGGAAAATCCCCCTCCCACCACCACGAGTTGCACTGATGCTGTCCACACAATCACAAAATGAACTGATAGGATGGGAATCGCATGAACCCAGGATCATCAAAGCATCCTTCAAAACAAAGAAAGAGGGCATTACAATGAACGTCATTCAAGGCTATGCACCTACTGACAACTGCAACGAAGACGTTCATGATCAATTAACAGGGAGGCTGCAGTCAATCTTCGAGAGATGTGCATCAAAGAATTTGACCATTCTGATGGGAGACCTAAATGCCAAAGTTGGAATGGACAACACTGGATATGAAGACATCATGCGCCTACATGGACTGGGAGAAAGCAACGAAAATGGTGAGAACTGCAAATCTACGTGCCTTCAAAAAACTCGTCAACAACGGAACAATATTCCCACACAAACGCATACACAAAGCTACATGGATTTCATCGGATCACATTACTCAGAACCAAATCGACAATATCTATATCAATAAGAAGTTCAGAAGGACCATGGAGGATGTGAGAACCAAGAGAAGAGCTGATATAGCCTCAGATCATCACTTGACAGTAGTCAAGATTAAACTGAAACTCAAGAATTACTGGACAACCGACCGGAGAATATCACAAATGTTATACGGCGTTTATTCAGGATTTCGGAATAGGTCGCAATAGGTCCTAGGCTTTTCACGATCTACTCAATTGAAAAGAAACTTCATCGGAGAACAATTGGAAAGGGATCAAGGAGGCAATCACTTCAATATGTCGAGAGGTTCTGGGTCACAGGAATTACAATCACAAAGAATGGGTCTCTGTTGGTACACTGGATAACATTCAGGAAAGGAGCAACAAGAACGCATCAATCAACACCAGCCAAACAAGAGCAGAGAAAGCCAAGACACATGCTGAATACACAAAAACATACAAGCAAGTGAAGAGGAACATCAGAGTCGACAAACGTAAATATGTGGAAGATCTAGCAATGACAGCGTAAAAGGCTGTAAGAGAAGGAAACAGGAGACAATTGTACGATACAACAAAGAAGCTCGCTGGAAACCAGCGTAAACCACAACGACTAGTGAAAAGCAAAGAAGGCAAAGTAATCAGCAACTCTGAAGAGCAGCGAGACAGGTGGGAAGACAGGCAGGAAGAATTCCCGAATTTACCAGCCCCATTAAACGCATGCAACATCGAAGCAGCATCTACGGACCTTTCAATCAATATTGACCCACCAACAAGTGAAGAGATCAGCATGTCCATCAGAAAAGTCAAGAGCAGCAAATCAGCAGGACCAGACAACGTTACAGAAGAGGCACTGAAAGCAGACGTGACAGCAACTGCAGAAGTATTCCACACTCTCTTCAAGAAGATTTCGTATGAGGAGTAAGTGTCAGCACACTGAAAAAAAGGATACCAAAGAAAGGCGATCTCAGTAAGTGTGAGAACTACAGAGGCATTACTCTCCTCTCAATATCAGGCAAAGTCTTCAACAGGGTGTTTTTAAACAGAATGAAGGACTTCATAGATGCCCAACTTCGAGATCAACAGGCTGGATTTCGTAAGGATCGATCGTGTACCGACCAAATTGCAACATTACTGATCACTGTGGAACAACCAACTGAATGGAACTCATCACTCCACGTCAACTTTATTGACTTCTAGAAAGCAACTGATGGTATGGAGGGGTCAAAATCGGAATTCCCAATACAAATGTCAAGAAATTTCTACTGTATGGGGCAGAAATTTGGAGAACTACCAAAGGCCATCATCCAGAAGATACAAGTATTCATTCACAGTTGTCTACGCAAAATACTACAGATCCGTTGACCAGATACCATCAGCAACAATCTACTGTGGGAGAATACAAACCAGATTCCAAAGGAGGGGGGAAGCAGGAATCGCTGGAAGTGTATAGGACACCTACTGCGGAAAGCACCCAACTGCGTCATAAGACAAGCCCTCACTCGGAACTCTCAATGTCAAAGTAAAAGAGGAAGGCCAAGAAACACAGTACGCCGAGAAGTAGAGACAGACATGAGAAGAATGAACAAAAACTGGGCAGAACTGGAAAGGGAATCCCAAGACAGAGTAGGTTGGAGAACACTAGTCAACGGCCTACGATCCATTGGGGGTAACAGGCGTAAGTAAGTAAGTCATTAGAAAGTAGTTTAGGTGAAAGAGAATAGGTAACTAATCAGTCTACAACGCATATAAACATTACTCTAGAAAACAATCGAATGATCGTGTAAGTGAGAATAGAATAGAGTTCTACAAACATCGATTGATAGTTTAAAAACTTAAATACAAAAGAAAACAAAATGATATGCACGAAATTCGTAATGATTATCTACAAATACCGAAATAAAATTAACTTACGAAAAATATTTTCTTTGAATGTATTCCCATTTAAACTGGTGAACTCAGCAAATATAGTTACATCATTTGGTGTTGATGAATTATAGATAAGGGAATTAGATCTTGGCAAAGGTATTAATTTTGGTTGTAGAAAGAAACTAGCGAATACACATATGATAACAATAATCACAACCTGTAGTAGAATATTGTAAAATAAGTACAAAAGCTTGTTCATGGTATATAATATCGAATACGCTCAAGTAATTTTATCAGAAAGAAATATACGATAATTATTTATGGTATTTACATTAGCTTAAATTACACAAAAATCCAATACAAATGATTAGTTAAAGCAGAATTTGTTACACAAAATAAAATTTGTGTAGGTTAGAATGCTCTCAGGGCATCCAAACCAAAGCAGGAAGTTTTTTGGGAGACCTATTCCAAACCTTTGACCTAAAGGTCTGATCTACACAAAGCAGCAGAGTCACATTAGGAAGTGCAATCCCATGTTTTCCAGTTATGAGAGATACGTGCATAGTTATTCTTTAACTCAGAATCCTGGAGCTCAGGTGCACCATTCGTCTGAGACTAGGGTTTTTTAACGCCTTCAAGTGTATTCCTTGTTTGCTTTTCGTCCTCCTAAACTCTTAATGGGTAGTGGCAGTGAGTAGAACTTCCTAAATAGAAGCTGCAAACCCAAGATCAAGTGACAGCAGGAAGCGAAATCCTTCTACATTTAGTCGTACAGGGGTATTTAAGGGATACATAATATGAGGAAAAGCAAATAATTACCTTAGTTTAAAATGTTGAATAAGCTGTCCGACTGAGTAAACGTAAAATAATAAACAACAGAAGTGTGTAGTTCCCATTAATAAATGAATAAGATATTAATATCGACAATCTTTAGCTAACATGGAAAGGAAATGGCGATCAATATAGTCAACTTTTGATGTATGATCTTGTCATACTTTCAAGGTATTTTCACTGTCATAACAACATACCTTAATTAGGTGTCAAAATGAAATACGATAATGGTTATTTAATTCATTATACATTAGGAAGTAAATGTAGGCCGACTTTTCAAAATCTATCTAGGTTACTATTAGTATCCAAATCAATGTTGGGTAAAATTTTCCATATAATGAATTGAAATGATTAATTAATTTGATTATGCCTTATAAAAAATACTACTAGCTTAAAAAGCAGTATTAATAATAATAATAATTTAAATTTCTGCATACGCACTACATAAAATGACCTGATATCATTTTTGAAGTGATGAAATTTATAACACGCTGAAAATGAAATAAAACAAACATTTCGAAGCAGAGTACTTGAAGTACAGAGGTACTGTGGACACTCGCTTTATTACATATAGCAGACAAAGATTATTTGTTAGCCTTGAAACACTTTTATTAACAAACAAAATATGAAGGCGTGTATATAACGCCAAAACAGAGAAATAAACCCGATAAAAAGATGCGTTTACGGTTAAAATATTCATAACAGACCATTATCATTTAGCTCAGTTGTAGTATGGTGTCAGACTATTGATGAATAAATTATACTTCAACCACTATGTCGATCAATAGAAACTAAACCTTGAGAAATCCGCAGTTTATAGTTGACAAAAAAAATTATGTAACAATTAAGATAAAAACAACAAATATTGCATCGATTTTACAAATAAATCGATATGAACAATGGAACTGACCACTTTCTACAGATATTGGAGTAAAACTCGATATTGATGACAAAAAAAATAAGAACTTTCAGTGTGCCACCTTCCCAACACATGTTCAATGAGATTGAGAACTTGATCATCTTGACTTAATTTAAAAAAAGTTGATTAGCATGAAACTCCAGAGCCGAAAGGATTTTCTTACTTATTCACCTTAACATGAAAAATAGATTGTTCGATTATTCTTACTATCTGAAGTTGAATAATTGAAACAACTATAAATTAATATGACCTCTATTGAACAGAAGTTAAGTGGTATTGGATTTCGGTCAGTCAATCAGTGAGCTACAATATAGAACCTGGTACGTACGTACATCAGTTGAAGTTGCCATGCCACATTAGCACACAGAGATCGACTTGTGAATTCAAATCTCAGAGTAGTATAGGTTGCAGTAGTAATAGCGGTAATCGGAAAGATTAGGGATCCAAGACATGATTCGAGAAGTATAACTCACTGAAATAAATTCAAAATGAGAAAAGAGGTTATGAGGAATTCGGTAGATTAAAATTTGAGAGAACCCAAAGAATGGATGCATCTACGCCATTGCAAACGATTTTCAGCCAATTTCATTTAAAGTCTCTAACCACTGGTTACGATTGTTTTGCGGACATCAACCAGGTAGTCTATACCTATTAATTTGGCTCAGTAAAGATGTTAATGAATGCATGGATATGTAACACGTTTCGGCCTGGTCGCCCCTAGCCACTTGCATTTCATGTACCGTAGAATTGTAACTCTTATTGCTAACAGTTGTGACGGTGTAAAAACAGTGGTATAACTCAGTGCAAAAACTAGTAATTTCGTTTGCGTTAATAATGACCTATTCTGTAAAAATTCTGAAACAACTCACACACAAAATGACGTTCTGATCAGCTACAGTTTGACTGGACCAACGTGATAGACAAACCTGATCACTAACTAGCTACTATTGGTACAGTAAATGAATATAAAACCGTACTAATAAAACAGTGATAAACAATAACTAGATATCTAAATACTTTGCTAGTTTAAAAAGCGATGGTTAACTTACACTAAAAAAATTGTCATTCTAATTAGCTTTATTATTGAAATAATATTAATCACATCTGCATTAATAAAAATGTCCTTTGGAATCATTTAAATTAAAAAGTATGCAAAACACTATCAACTAATTATTATTCACAATACAATGCGAGAGATAGGGAGGGTTGAAAAGCTTGAACAGTAAATTACAAGTAAAAATAAGCCGTGCACTAGACGACAATAAAATGTGCACTAGTTAGTAAATAAGAGTTAACATATCATTATTAAAAAACAGTAGTTTCAATAAGATACAAAACCTTATGAAATAATACAAGGTCCATATTTCAACCTTTTTCTTCTTGAAAAAATCGTTATTTGAAGTAGTCTAAGAATAAAGGAATATGTACTAGTTTGTAAGAAAAGTAATAAAAATAATTTAATCACTGCAACATACTTTAAGTTAAAATTTACAAAGAATTGAGAAGTGTCCACAGTAAAATGTACTTTTATGATGCAAAGTTGATTACTGATTGGTTAAACTATAGGACTACGTATTTAAAAACCAATGTTTGGGCATACACGCAGCCTTAAAAGCCTTAACTCAGCAAGTGTGATTAATGATTATTTAGTTGTTAGGTTACATTCATTCCGATCAAGTGAAGTTGTAGCAGTGGGATTCTGACCCGACCGTAGCCGCTACCTTGACGTGGTGGTTGGGCTTGCCTATCGTGATGACCCAATCCAGATATATTGGCTGGAACATATGTTCCTGCAGGTCCTACCATTCTAGGCACATCGATTGGAGAACAATGAGACTGAAGGCAGATAGATACTCAAGGTCTGAGGGCGAAGTCGTACTGCTGACTGTAGAGGGGTGTGACAGCGGTAAGGTGTTTTCCTCGGACAACCAGCATCTGCAGCGATGCTGCCTTCTGACAAGGAAAGAAGGGTTAGAAAAGGTCGACCCTAAAAATGTCACACCTCAATCTACCTCACGGATTTCCGTCCCCGTCGGTAAGGCCTTTTAAGCCAGAGCTGAGCTAACACTTTCAAAACTTCCCATCAAAAGTCCGTGCGTGACCGGTCTCAAGTAGTTGTCCCTTGGGCTCTGCGATCACGCTGTCAGGTCTCTAAGACCAACGGTAATCTACCTTTGTCTTCGGGTTCCTCAGGAAACACTTCCACGGTGTGGGTATTTGGTAAACGACATTCGCTCTCATACCTGTAACAGCAGAGATCGAATCGGTCTCAATCAAATTCTTCCTACATCTAACATCCCCTTATGTTCACGACTAACCTTGAGTAGCTGTTTTTAGTCTCATCATTCTCCAATCGGCCAGCCTGGCATGGTAGAACCTACAGGAACATATGTCCCTACCAATATGGCTCGGTTGGGTCATCACGATAGGCAAGCCCGACCACCACGACAAGTTAGCAGCTACGGTCAGGTTTTAGTTCGATAAATGTTAAAAATGGTTGAAAGAACTTTAACGTTTAGAAGACGATAATATTTGTGTTAAGAACGTTGATTTCCCACAAAAAATCGATACATGAGACTTGTATCCAAAAAGAAAAGTGAAAGTAACCTACTACCAAAAATTTGCTAAAAGCCATTTTCATCCAATGGATAAAAACAACAAATAAAACTAGATACACCGTAATCAAATTTTATTTAAATCTATATCTTTTAACTTTCAGCAATTTTTGTCTAAAACATGCGATCGATACGATTTACAAGACGAAATTACAAAAGTATGCTTCATTTTAAAAAAGTTCATAGGAGAAAAACTTAATCAAGCTGGTACACAGTCAACAAATAATGGTACAACAACCTTATGACAATCAGCCTAACTGTAACAGGATAAACTTAATTAGGTTGAAAAGTTTGAATATAAAAAACTTCTACAAAGAAGTAGTGTTTCACTCCTGCATGGCTAGATAACTCAATGTCGTTTAATAATAGTACCGGAGTTTTAGATCATGCTATAGGCTTTAAATAATTCTTTCAATCACCTGTAACAACCAGATGAAAACAAGATAGCTAAATAAGTAGTTAAATATATTAAAAATCACTTGTTTCACTTTACTTCTAAGAGAGTTCTCATTGTAAAATACAAACAGATAGAATAAAAACAATTTTGCCCAATGAATTTAACATTTAGAAAAACTTGATAGTAAAGTCAAAGGAAGTTATTATTGAAAATTATTTTTATTGTGAATGTGACATGTTAAATAAGTCAGAAATTACCTATAGGCGTTTTACTCAATATTTTTAGTCAACACTAATACTATCTAATTGTATTATTGTCGTCACATTACAATGCAGGAAGAAAATAATGAATTAGATAATCAGACAGACAGACAGATAGATACAACGCAGAACTACGTACATAAGTACATCAGTTCAGGTTGCCATACCACGTCAGCACAGAGACGTAACTGTCAGTTCAAATCCAAGAGTGATAGCGATAGTAGAATTAGACAATCACATAAACTAAACACTAAAGTATATGAAAGTTATAAATTTCACTAGTAAGATACGACAATTTCATAATGTAGATTACTATCACTACATTTTGCGAGTTGTGAAAGAAACAGCCCAGCAATGATAGTCCATATTACAGTCAGTGTTAATAAAACAAGCATTAACCCAATAATATTTACTTATCATGGACAAAAATGAGAAATGGTATAATACTAGGGAAGCTATGTGGTCGACAGAACTATATTATATTTAAACTCAAATCAATTAGATGAATTCTAAGTACGGATAAATTTTAATATCCGAAAGTATATATCTGATGAAAACGAATAGAAAAGTTAGTGAATAACTCTATAGAACATACGTTAACGCACAATACAGGTGCACTGCCACTTCAGGAAAATAAATTCAGAGAAAAGTATCAACGTAGAAAGCAATGCCATTCAATATCTAAATAGCCTACAGTTGAGAAAGAACTGGTCAAGAAATTTATAGTTGTAACCAACTATTAAATATTGATTTACAGAGACATTTAGTTATATACATGTATTTGTAAGATTAATTGCATGAGAATTTAAGTTGTAAATATTGTTACCCCTATTATTTTTGATGTCAATCTTTCTAAAGAATAACTTCACCTAAAATAGAGGATTCCATGGATATGTGAAGTTAAGAAGTCTTTGACTGCGTTTCAAGTAAATAAATAGTCAACCAACAACTAGATAAAAAAACCAAATGATAATTTACTGTTTGATGGCGAAAGTGTTTGTTGGTGTTTTTATCCGTTTTTCTGTCACTATAAAAAAGTGTGTATAGTTCATATCATATTGCAACGAAGAATATCTTCTAAGTGAAGGCTGGTACGTCACTGTAAGTACAGAAGGTATGCATGGTACTGTTAATTCAATTAAATTTGCATACACGCTCAATATATTAACCACACTTTGTAGCAATATTCCATAAAAAATAACTGTCTGATTTTATAAATAGCTATACTGGGATTAATGTCCCAAGCACTAGATGTATTTAATTTTCTGAGCAAATTAACAAACATTATTTTGAATATATTATCTATCTAACTAAACTTACTCCAAGAATGAAATAAAGAGCACGAGCAAACATTTGACTCCCAATTAGTAAGATAGACATACAAAGTGCGAGTATAACTAAGGCATATAGATAACTCCACCAGTGATTTTCACCAGGTAGTACCCCATCGAATAAAATACCTTGGAAAAAAGAATAAATACAAACAAAAACATGAAACTAGTACAAACTATGATATTAGTTGCCAAATATCATCTCAACTTCTGACAGAAAATAACATCTCACACAATACATTGTCTACTTCAGTCAAATTGTATTTTGAAACTAGTCTATCGTAATTTTGTTATTGACTCAACACATAGTCCCAGTTGTACATCTTGAAGGCTGACATTGGGAATAACAACAGCCTAGTAAAATGGTCACTGCTAATACAGTAACATGTAACGTGATTATGTCAGAAAAATGGCTACGAGAACATACTAAGAAAATGAACACTTTTTGTAATTTATCAAATAAACTCGTATAAAAGAATTTTGCACAAGAAAGTTTAGAGCTACCAACAACAAAACTATGCGTCAAAAATTGACGTTGATTGGTAGGCATTACGATAAAGAATCCTGCATCTTTAAAAGATAACTACTTAGCGAAAGCAAAACATTTACGGTTGAACTACCAGGAGGAGAACAATATAATGATTAATAGTTTTACGATTAATTTACGGTATACCCCGGTCAATTCGACGAAGTATTGAAACTCCATCAGTCGAGTGGTTGAGACATGTGTTACGTATGCCTAACCACCGACTACCTCGACGAGCTATGTTTTGTGGTGTAGAAATAGGTTGGAAGAAAGCTAGGCCGGCCAGACCAAAACATGGCACAAATCCATGAAGTCATTGACAAGTGGACTGAGTCATGTTGGTAGGTGCAGGCTACCTGTTGTGGTCCGGAAAACGAAAGTCACCAATGGTTATAGACCTCGAACGAAATGGCTCAAAACCGCTTGCAATGGAGCAGGTGCATTCATCCATTCATCCATTTTAACCTTCCGAATTCCTCATCATCTCTCTCTTTCGCTTTCCAAGTTTATCTCACTCAATTATACTTCTGGAATCATATCTTCGAACCCTAATCTTCTCCAGTACAGTTAATACTTCTACTATCGCCACCACTACTGTCTTTGAACTGACAGTTGCGTCTCTGTGCTAATGCTGTATGGCAACCTGAACTGATGTACGTACGTACTAAGTTCTACGTTGTAACTGACTGACTGACTTCAGTCAATTTAGTCACTACCAAAGGACTTATACCAGAGTGATCTTAATAACTGACTTCTAACATGGACTTGAACGTGAATCTAGTTTTGACTACAATGTTCATAACGAAAGAGTAGAATCTCAAGTGCTCGTATAATAGGCATAAACAACTAAAGAAGATTCCTTTTGAAGTTGGTTAGTTAGACCACTGAATGCCACAGGAAAATTAATCTGTAAAAGTGCAGCTAAAAGGTATAATTTCGATTGCGAAGATTATTCACACAGTTTCTATTTTTAAAATGTAGCCTTGTGGTTAAATCTACAAATATTAACTCACCTCCAGGGCCGAAATTTATTAGCACAGCCTCCACTAAGCCTGCTATATATAAAGCAGCACTACAAACTTGAGCGAAGAAAAATATCGATCCAATAGCTCCACCAAACTCGGGACCTAAAGTTCGACTAAGCATGACTAATTAATTTTTTCGTCAGGGAAATCAGTTAAAAATAATATGAAAAATAAAGTTCATAAAACTCAAAAACCTGTTAGTATATACTATGATAACTGTTCTATTTAGAATAACAACTCGAGCAAATTGAACGAATACGACTTTATACGGCACTCAGTTTAGGCGTAGAAGATAAAACAATGATGGCGAATCGGTTGATTAAACCTTGAACCTCGATAAACTAGTGACTCAGAAGAATTTTGAAACTACTTCCTTGAAGCAATACTCCCTGAAGTGAGAATAGTGTAGAAGAAAGCTACGAGTGACTAAACTAACATACGCTAATAATCAGGAAAGTCACTATTGGATAGAGGCATCTACTGACAAGCAAGCTTCCTGTTTGATACCCGAACGATAGTCGTAATCAATGATTGGCGGCCTCAGGTCGCAATGCATCACCTTATACATTCCCGAACTTTATTTGGATCCCACTTTTAAATATTATTCCATCAAATATCAAAAACGAACAGGTTTTATGTGGCAGTATAACCAAGATTAGTTCGTGTTTCGAACTATGAGATTTCTACGACCTCCACAAATCCCTTTAAGTTAATAATGATTATATGCTAACTAGTACCGAGAATCAAGATGCAACTCCTCCAGTGAGGCCGGGACCAGTGACCAGGCGTGTCGATTATCAGACAGTTATGCACCACAGGCAATAGATGAAGAGAGCCCAGTATCGTAAATTGACTGAAGTTAGACATTAACACTGTTGGAAGTCAGCCCAGTAGTCTACAGTTTGGGCATTTGCGCAATACCGAAGGTTCCGGGTTCGGTTCTCGGATGCGCGGTCATGAATGGGAACCACTGAGGAGTCTTATGTTAGGACAAAACGGCCATTCAGTGCTCCCAAGTTTTCAATAGTGGTTTAACTAAGATCGATTTGTGATTTAAATCATAAAAATTTTATTGAGATCTAGACTCTTTGCTTCGCCTCACTCTATACTTTATAAAATATGGTAACCCGGGCCGAGACACACAAACTACGCAATATCTGAAGGGTTCGTCTACAGAAACCCTGCAAAGACAAATTAGTTTTCATGCGCATATAACATAAATGGGAAAATAAATCCACAAAACACAAATTTCTCCAAATGACCTATCGTCCTTAGTTGCAAAACTAATCCTCATAATAGCAAGGTGAATAAGCTTTCTTCAATGTATGGCTATACCATAGTTCTATGAAGTAGCCACGATAAAGTTAACACTTCAGGTGTCTTACTCCAAATAATTTCGATCACACCATATGCTTCGGCGGAATTAGATTTTTATGAAATGCTACAACAATAGGTCCCAGGCATATCAATAGATTAAGTATTGAAACTTCATCAGTGGAGGCGGCTGGGACATGTACTACGTATGCCTAACCACCGACTGCCTCGACGAGCTATGTTTTGTGATGTAGAAGTAGGTTGGAGGAAAGCTAGGGGCGGCCAAACCAAAACATGGCACAAATCCATGAAGTCACTGACAAGTGGACTGAGGCATGTTGGTTGGTGTCGACTCCCTGATTGGATGATAGTAATCGATGGTTAGAGACCCTGACATGACTCAAAACCGTTCGCAATGGCGCAGGTGCATTCATTCATTGCACTCTCTCATATCTTAATCTGAATTCCCCATCACCTTCATCTTTTCTTTTTGAGTTTCTTTCACTAGATCCTACTTCTTGAAAAGTATCGTCGAACCCAAATCTCTCTGATTACCACTAAGAAATTTACTAACTCTACTACAATGGGATTTGAAGTGACAATTGTATCTCTGTGTTAATGTGGTATGGCAAATCGGACTAATATACGTACGTACAAAGTTATATGTTATTGTTGACTGACTGAAACAACATTTAACATTTCGAAGATGAAAACGCATCATAAATATGACTGCATAGCTGCTTGGTCAGAAGACTATCTTGCCAGCGTACATACCCGACCGTAGCTGCTACCTCGACGTGGTGTTCGGGCTTGCCTATCGTGATGACCTAACCGAGCCATATGGGCTGGAACATATGTTCCTGAAGGTTCTACCATGCCAAGCAAGTCGATTGGAGAACGATGAGATTAAAAGTAGCTACCCAAGGTCTGAGGGTGAAGTCGTACTGCTGACTGCAGAGATGTGTGACAGCAGTAAGGTGTTTCCCTCGGACAAGCAGCATCTGCGACGATGCCGCCTTTTCACAAGGAAGGGTTAGAAAATGTCGACCCTAAAAATGTCACACCTCACTCTACCCCACGGATTTCCGTCTCCGTCGGTAAGGGTGCCCACTAAGGGTCTTTAAGAGCGGAGCTAATACTCAAAAAACCTTTCATAAAAAGGCCGTGCGTGACCGGCCTCAAGCAGTTGTCCCTTGGGCTCTGCAGTCACGCTCCCAGGTCTCCAAGACCAATACTAATCTATCTTCCTTTTCAGGTCCCTCAAGAAATAACCTTCCACGGTGTAGGCAGCCGGGAAGTGACAACTGCCCTCATACCCGTAACAGCACACAAGACCGAATTCGTCGAAATCAAATTCTTCCTACACCCACACATACCTCTCTTATCTCCACGACTAACTCTTCTCACATTCCTTTATCACACTGCACAGCTAATGCAAACAATACGAGTTCACGAAACATCATTCCTGGTCTCTTGAAACCCCGTTCTAGACTACATGTTGGAGCTTTTAATGTACGGACATTGTGTCAAATAGGGCAACAGGCATCATTAGCTAGGACTTTAGAATCTCGTGCCATCGATGTATGCTGTGTCTTATGCTGAACCTTACAACTAACAGTTAAACACCGCCTTACGGTCAAGGGATACAACTAGTGTCATACCCTGCAAAGTATACATATGTTTTGGAACCAGTTGTAATTAGTGGCCTTCAGTGGCTAACAGCGATGCTACTTATTTGAGTTCAGCGTTGAGTCGAAGTTCAGGTCCGCCTTCAAAAGATCTTTTTTCTTAAGTTTGTCAGAAATAGGCGGTTATCTGAGCATAGCTGCGGCAGACGGTCGCCATCATCTTTTCCATGAGCAGTGACACCACAATACCCGTCTAAATGCCTTTCAGTTTAGTTTAGTCTACCTACCTAGGTATTACAATCACCATTCACTATCACAACATCAAAGCGCACAGATGTATGCGGAAGGTTGGAATGGTTTCCGTAAAATTCATCTTTTACGTCATCTGAGCTGCAATCAGTTGGACCGTAGACAGAGATGTCGAAGAGTATCCCTAACCTTCCGCTTAGTCAGTCACCGCAAAAGTGACCATCTCCCGCAATCTAGTCTAACAGAACCAGTTCTGCTTTTCAACTTATTACCATACCTCCATCAGCGAGGTCTCAGATAGCGGGATCTCCAGATACACGAAAGGTGAGCTGCGTCGGTTCTTAAAATTGACCAGGTGACGTTAAATGAATCACCGTATTTGGATGTGCACTTTGGGGACACAAAGTACGTCGACAATGCCTGTTTTCCTTTCTGAGGTTTGAACACTAAGAGCTCTAACACGTAGTTTAGAGAGTGGCTTCAAGAGACCATAAAAAACATTTCGTGAACTCAAATCATTACCACTGACAAAGATATGCAAGGATGTTTACTTGTGGAGTTGAGTTGTTAGGTGAGAGAGGGATTTGAACGTTAACAAGATGATCTCAGATGCTGTCGCAAGTATGAGAGCAGGTGTCACTCCTCAACTGCCCATACCGTACAAGGATATTTATTCTTGAGAGATATGACGAGGAAGTTTGGATAGTAATGGCCTAAGCGATCTGTGAGTGTGACCAGACCCCAAAGGACTAATGCTTTAGGCCTTTTTATGACAAGTATTTGATGTGTTAGTTCTTCATTTTAGGGGGACTTACAGCCGGAGACGGAGTAATGTGAGGTGTGATATTATAAGGAGCGACCTTTCCTAACCATCTTTTGCCGTTGTGAAAAGGACGAATATCTGCATATGCTGGTTGTCTGAGAGAAACACGTAATTGCCATCACACTCCTTTATATTCAGCAGAATGACTTCGGCCGTAGACCTTAAGTTGCTGCTTTTAGTTCTACCGTTCTCCAATCGACCTACCCACCATGATGAGACTTAAGGAGCGTATTCTCTAGCCAACATAGCTCAAATGAGTAATCACGACAGGTGAACTCAAATACCATGTCAAAGTGGTAGTTACGGTTGGGTAAACTTTAACCCACTGGTTAAAATCTAGTAATTTCGACCAGAATATTTATTTTCATCCTACTGTACGACACGCAGTACCACTACCAACTCAAAATAAATGCGGAATACCGTAACGATCCAAGTCAATTAGAACCACTTTCAATACACACCTGCGTGTATACACAATGGTGAAAACATGTGATCGGTACTTTTAAGTAACAATGACAACATACTTTTCAGATATCTGGTAATTAAAAACAAGCTGAAATGTCAAGTTCAGTAAAAAATTAAAGATAAAATGCATTGAACAACTAATTTTCTTAATTAGAATAGAAAAGGATACAATATACACCTCCCCCTTCAACTGCTCCATTTGTACTAATTGCGCATATGGAAAACACAGTCAGCAACAAGATAAAATAAGATAGAATTAGTTGTAATATACTTTCCAGCAAACCAGCATGAGCGATGATGAACCCTAAGTAACAAATTTTTACAGAAAAAATGCACGTACCTAAACGCAGAAATATTACACTACTGAACTGAGATAGTGTTACGGAACAAAAGACTCCACCAAATGTGTTTAACGTTCGACGTGATATGACAATATTACCATCAAGTGGTTTATTAAGATCGGCCATTGAGTTTTAAGGATTAATTCTAGGTGATAATATCACTGACGGAAGAATATCCAAAGCAACATATGAAGGGAATGTCCGGTTAAATTCGAGTGGCAACAGCTTGAGAGAATGTCATGACGGGTTATCTGAAATATTAAAAACAATAACACTCTAAATTGATGGATATTAGCGTGCTTGACTCATTTTAAAACCACTCGTATTTCAGCTGGATAAATTAATAAATGAAGCACTGAGTTCAAGGAAGACATCACCAATATCCATTTTTTTCAAAGGGAGAAACTAGTGGATCAGTTATCTTCTAACGCAAACCTTCCACATTTAGTAGATGTCCTCGATGACAACTACTTGAGTCAATCATCTCTTACGATATCGAATTTAAAAAATAACCAGTGTTAATTGGTATGTTAAGCGAATCATCAGTTACCAGTTTCCGTCACATTACTGACACTGCTATATTAGTACTAGTAAGACTAACACCACGTTTAACTGTTGTTGTGACGCTTGTGACATTTACCAAAAAACCTCGTCCTACAACAAATGCTCAACACATTCCACAGAACTTCCACTTAGATTTGGTGTTTTTTGTCAAAATATGCCAACTGTTTGTGACGCGCTGAAGTAGGCCAGGCGGTTTAGGATTTACGAATAGCAAATAAAAACGGAACCTATTATTTCTGATCTGATGATAATTTTCATCTAAAAGAGACTGCCGAAATCGAGATGAAGGAATTCCTAATTTCTAGCAACAACACTCTTAGGACTACTTATTTGAATGACGCAACGAACCATGGAAGGAATATTGATTTTTTACAAATGCGTTTGCTTCAGTGAAAGAACTAAGATGAAAACATTTTTGTTTAACAATAATCTTTCAGAACGCATAGTGTGCACCGACCAATCGATAGATGAGATCACATAGATCTTAATGAAAATGTGTAACCGTCACTAGATTAATGCCATGCAGAGATACCTATAGATACTAACACAGAGATAAGTCTGGAAAACAACCGTGAGTTAGGTCCACTCACCGACCTGATTATGAAGCAGGAATAACCGAAACTGCTTAGCACCAGTGACCTTTCGAAGGACATGGCCTTGCACGAAAGGTCACTAAAAGAGTGAGGGAAAAATCTACCACATCCAATACCTTTTTCACGAGCTAGTATAAGCCCATTAATTTCTTTCAGCTCGTTTCTTGTTCCTTCAGCACTGTTCCAGGTGTTCAGGAGTGTCCAGTGAATGAGGTTCCAGCCACTCAACTAACTGTCTAATTCTAGTCAGTTAGCAACTGGTTGAGTCTGCATGTCACGTGATCCAAGAGGGGAGATGATAATCCGTATCTGAGTGTGTCTATCAAGCCCCTTCTTAAAGCTGTCCACTGGGGGGACTGTGGTCATCTCGGCTGGGAGAGCATTCCAAGTTGCGACGACTCTCAATGAAAAAAAGTGTGCACCAACCTAGGTGTTCGCTCTTTGATGCGCAATTTTTCGAAAGTTGCCTCGAGGGTTTAGTAGTGATGCATCGGTACGATCCTCACTTTGGGATAGTTTGGGGTGCCTGATGTACAGCAGCTTCGTCTTATGCATTATGCTAAGATTTTAAGTATCCAATGCCTATTGTGCATCATTACTAGTCAAGAATCCTTCAAATTGTTCCATAGAAAATCAAATTCAGATTTGTAGGTTGAGAAATAAATCCCTATGGCTTACGTTGGTCTTTTCGTATAAGGCTTCTGGAAGAATCTAAGCTCTTTAATAAGCCTGTGAAATATGCTGATATTTCATGTTTTAATGACAGATTACGGGATTCAAAGACCTGTATTCTACAAAACTTTTTCGTACTCTTTTTTGTACTCTCTTAATATGCAGTCTAAATATTCTTGATCTGACAAGAGGAAGAGAAGTGGCATACAAAGTCCGAAATCACTGGTTAGCATTTAAAATTGTCTTAATCTCACACCTGATAAAACCACGTATGTATCGCTTGATAATTCTTAACTACCTACATGAAGTTCCCTAATTAGTGAGTTTTTTTGCTCACACGGTTACTTTGGACATTTCGGTTATAATTTGCGAAGGTTTAACTACAACAGCGCCGAAGCTTACCACTACATAGTATCATGGAATTAGTCTTCATCCTGTATCATAAATATCAGTAACCATTTCATCAACTCTGTCTGCGAGTAACTATATGCTCAAGTGACATATTGAGTATCGTATTCAGAAGGGCATAGATGTGTTTTGCATTTGGTCCTAACTTTTGTAGATTTAATTCGTCCGATCCAGTTGATTTCTGCATACTAACTGCTTAGAACGCTTATTAAGTCATCTTGAATAAATTCCACGGTCAGTTGTCTATTTAGTGGTATGACACACAGGTCAAATCCATCGTCTAACGGATCTTCGGTGAAAAAAGTTTCGAAATATCCCGACATTGTAGAATCTATTTTGAAGGCCTTGTTGATGGAAAATCCCTCCATGTATATATATATACATATATATATGTTATGATCTGACCGACTCTTCTGTTCGATATTTTAGTACTCTGTTTGATTCCATTTTGGGATTTTATCATTTCTATCTTGTTATTATCTCTATATCTTGTACTTATATTGGAGTTTCTATGTTTCCTTCTGAACTATATATGTGTTGTTTAAAATTGATACTTAATATGGCTACAGCCATTTCCGGATTTGATACTCTTGCAGCAGCTAACTGGAAGCACTTATTCTTCCAGTATCGGAACTTATTATTGTGATCAGAAACTCGAAGGTGTAATATTGCTTTTGTAATTGTCTGAATTTCCTTTTTTGATTAAATATAGAAATGTTCTTTCCCAGAATTTATATTTTTGGACTTGGACTGGGCGAGACGCGTGTGAACCTACACCTTTCCGTTTCACAGCTTACTGCGAGAGTAATAAATATTTCTAAACACATGGCTTCTGATCTCTTCTGATCTTACTCTATTGTTTCAGATTTGTTTCCTTCTTAATTAGGCAGAGAATCGAACGATATGTTCCTGTTTTAAAGCCGATATACAAGATTACAGATTATGCTAACCACTACTCAAGGTTTTAATGAGCTATAAGGATCGTCGCCGAAAGCCTATGTTGAAGCGGATTGTGAACTTCAGTTGTATTTGCTGCATAAAGGTTGTTAAAGATGTATCATTGTTTTTCATTCTATCCTTATGAACGTTGAACCAACGTGTTTATGTATGAAAACGCTTTCTCTTCAATGAAAATGCTATGACAAAAATGGTCGGACCTCTTTGTAACATAACTGCTGAAACTGAGTCTATGACCATTCCGCGTATACCCAAGAATCAACTTATCACCTTTAAGACGAGGTTCCAAAGTTGGTTGCCTTCGTAATTGTCTTCGTGCGATAGGTAGGGCCAACTCATTTGCTTGAATACGATTGTAGAATTCTTTTTGAATGTTTTGTGTTTTGGAAAATCCCTCCATGTTTACATATTTTGCTATGACCTGATGGACTTTTTCTCTTGACATTTTTGGTATTTTATTTGATTCCAATTTGAGATTTTACCATTGTATGTTGTTATTCCTTCTATATTTTGTACTTATATTGAAGTTTTTGTGTTTGCTTCTGAATTGTACATATATTGTTTAAATTTGATATAATATGGCTACCGCCACATTTTTGGATAGACGCGGTGGCTGCTGGACTTAGTGTCACTTACTAGCTATTGTAATAGATACTCTACGGAGTAATTTAGTCCTGGAAGAAACATAAACATCGTAAGCCTCTGTATTTCCATTTTATAACAATAGAGACGGTTTTCTCCTAGAATTTTTGGCCTTCTGATTTGGCTGGGACGTGGATCTAGGAGTATCGTACCGGTGTGTTTCTATTGGACGCGATTAGGACAGCCGCCGGCGAAAATAATTCTACAGTCTGATGTTTGCTCTTCTTGCGTGAATTATACTTGGAAATATTTACCAGAACGCAGATAATTTGGATCTATTTGGATTATTAAGAATTACAAGGAAACATTTGGAATTTAATCGTTTATCATACTAGACTTCCTTGGAGGAAGACGTTGGAACTATTTTTCATTAATTTTGAACTGAAATTTGGATTTACTCTATTTTGTATTCGTTATTGAACTTTATTTATGATGTCAAACCGAAAAAAATCACACGAGAGGACGGTGGAAGAGCTCGACGGATCACAGGGCTCTAGGCAAGTCGTTAGTGATAACCTTTTTATGGGTAACCCACATGTTATGTCTGATATTTATTATTGTAAGTCATCGATAGAGGGTTTAGAGTTACCTAAGGTTGAGCTTTCATATTTTGATGGAAGGTCTCGCGACTATTTTAAGTTCATACGACAGATAGAGACGTTTATAGAACCTCGAATCAAGGATGATCAAGTGCGTTTATTGTATTTAATTCATTATTGTAAGGGAAAAGCTAAAAATGCGATCGAAGGCTGTCTTATAATGGACCCACAGGCAGGATATAAGAGAGCTAAGGTTATTTTAAAACAGCTTTTTGGGCAGTCACATGTGATAGCGCGAGAAACCTTAGAGGACTTATTTAGAACTGGGAATGTCGAATTTAATGATCCTGAATCATTGACGAACTTGGCCATTAAAATGCAGAATGCTTCTTTAACTTTAGAACAGTTAAATTGTACAGCTGAACTTAACTCTATGACTACTTTAGAACGAATAGTAAGGCTCTTACCTCGTCGAATGCAAGCCCAGTGGGCAGAGCTAGTATTCAAGTGGGACGAAGAGGAGAGAGAGCCCAATTTTAACGAATTGACGGAATTTATTATGTCTCGTGCTAAGATAGCTAGTAGTAGGTTTGGAAGATTAGCTTATCAGGCTAAAACAGGAAATAATATGGAAGCTACTAGTGGTCTGCGTGCGAGACATTCGGATTCTTCGTTTCTACCTAAAGCACGCTCGGAAGATAAGAGATTTGTCAATTATATCACGAAAGCATACGCTGATGAAGGACGAGTATGTGACCGTAACGATGTAAAGCCTCTTGATGCGTGTCCTAGTAAGAAGCCGGTTTGTGTAACAGATAAGATGGCTTTTCTAAGTGTAGAAAAGAAAGAAAAAGGTGAAAAAGGTAGGCATCAAGATGGATCCGGAGTGTGTGATGATAAAAGCCTCTTAGCTGCTCGAAAAGCCTGGAACGGTAATTTGGATTCGAGTAATCAGAGGTTAGTGAGTTCAGCAAATATGAATAAAGCCCAGGCAGGATTGACTGAACGGAATAAAGCTTATTTTCGGAACCCTTCAGTTAGGGTAAATTATATAACTGGACCTAGAGTAGCTTCTAGGATAAGTGATGGTGGAACAGTAACGGCTAAGAAGCCTAGGAGACATGATGCTACTATTACTAAGAAGCCTGAACCTCATGCTCTTTCGGATGCTACGACTAGCTATGGAAATAGTAGCCATCAGAACCTCAATAGTGACAGTGATAATAAGAATATAGAAAGTGTCAGCAGTCCACTTATAGGGACTAGTTTATCGACTTCATCGAGTGAGCCTCCTAGTGTTTCGACGCCATTGGACCTCGTCACGAAGGTTAAGTTGATTGAAGATGCACAAGGTTGTGCAACTGTAACTGTTCCTATTACGGTTGACCGTCAGTCGAGTGATGATGAGAAGAAAATGTTTGATGGTAACAGCCAGTCTACAGTGCTGTGTGATGACGATGCTATTGTTGAGCATATGTCTTGTGCCGCGGAAACGGATGCTAATGTAGAACGGAATCATTTAGACGTTGATAATAAACTGGATGTCACTGATGTGACAAATGAGTTACCGACGATGATGAACACTGTTCAAACCTCCTCTGCATCAGGAGATGGAAGGATAAATATTGATCCTACGTCACGCTACTTAAGGTCTTCTGGAGACGATGAAATGTCAAAATTGGAGATCCCACCCTTGCATATTATTTATGGGTCAAAAACTTCTGTTGATAAGTTGGCATCACGGACTTCATGGTATCTGCTGATCAGAGCAAGTGGTGGTGGATTGGCGACTCGTCCCCACGATAGAGAATATAGTCCTTGGATAGGATATGACCAGTTTTGCGACGCGTTGT